AACTGAATCTAATTATCAGCTCAACCAATCCAAGGCAATCGTTGAAGCATACATAGAGATTATTACAGAAACACAGTGCCTTGTGGTGTACATTGTACGTATAACACACACTGGGATGGAATATGATCGCAGATCAGAACAGACGAGTTTCCATGTTGCATGCTGACAAAACATTTGAGGGACATTTTTCTACTGTTGAAAGAAATCCTTGTGAATAGCCCCTTCAAATGTAAGTATCAAGAATCTCCATGAAAAACAATACAGTATGGGATACAAGTAATTAATATACAGAAATAAATAGAAATTATCTTTCTGTATGTCACATATTTAAAAACATAATCTTATATTTCATAATTAATTGTCACAGATTATGTACCGAAACAGTCTGGCATCAAATATCGGCAATTGTCATTTTATACATGTCAAACCTGTTTGTTTGTCAAATATTTGGCAATTATAAGTGTACATAAAACTGAAATTAGAGCATCCCTGATGAATAACAGATTAATAATGATTTCTATATGATAGAGTGGAAACGTTAAACAACCAGTTGCCATAAAATGTTTGGAAATTAAGCGTGGGAGAACATCCTTTTAGATTGAAGGGTATTCTCCAATCAGTCACAGGTTCCAGTTTTATAAATATAATACTGTCATGAAGGAGAAGTATTCTTATACATGTGCAGCCCGAGATGAAAGACCTAAAATCTATGATTTACACAGATAGACATGGAACATTCCATGTTAATAATACACTTTAGAATCATGACTATCAACCTACTGCTACACAGTCAACAAACTTCCAAGTGTTGATCTGTTGTAAGGAAACTATTTGCACAGCTCTCACAGACACCCCTTATCAATATACAAAACCAAAACACTGTCTGAAAAAGTTTTGAATTTTTCTCAACAAGCACCCTGAATAAGAAGTCATAAATACCACTTTTGCCCGAAGTGTTCCCAGTCAACCCTCATACCATCCAAAACTCACCATCTGAAGTTCGCGGTTCATCTTGCTGGCCGCGACAACCGCTGCGGCCGAAGTCGTAGTCATCGTGACACTTGTAATTCACTACACGACTAAAATAAACTTCTATTTAAAAAATCCACCTCTTTCCAGCTTTGATTTAATCCATCTGCCATAGAACTTAACACGTCACCACGTGACTGTTTCGCACTGAAGTGAGAGTGACTGTTTTAAAAGTTGTCAGGATAACACTGTTGTGTATCCAAGCATAGAAGTGGAGTGGATGGTCCTGAGTGATTCCCCTTGCCTATGTCCACAGAGACACATGCAGGTGGCAGCTAGGTGTGCCTACTAGTCATCGACCCGAGTCACAAGCTGATCAACCTGCCTCCTATCATTGATCTGAAGGCCTCAAGCCAAAGCTTGTGCTATGTATACCGGGCCAATGGAGAATGTTCATTCACAAAAAGCTCTTTGCTGTACGAGGCAGCTGATTGATTCTATTGAAAATTATATTCAATCACTTCCCTTCACGATCATTACGTAGGTCATGTTGACAAAAACTGGATTGCCACTTGACAACATTCATAATTGTTTCAAAAGTTGTGTATAAGTGTAGGGATTACATTACGGTCATAAATCATTCTGATAAAATGAATCTGCAGTTTTATAGTATTGACAAATGGAGTCTTAGAAGATTTATGACTCAATCAGGCATAGAAGGATTTGCAGCAAATTGAATCAAGTTTTATGTGACTTGAAAAAACATAACAGAAAACAAACAGCTCATTTTTCCTACCTTTTGACTATTTTCTTGATATCAAATTTATTATTTATTTGTCTTTGTGCTAATCACTGCTAATTGCCATGATTTATTATCAATAAAAGGTAAAGATAAAGCTTTCTCAAGTATACAGAAACTTAGACATTATTTCACGGGTTCAGACTGTGCTACTATATCATGTACAAATATATGAACATATCTTTATGAACGATAAATTCAAGATAAGAATACTGCAATATCTCAATCCTGGGGGTTTGTTCAGCATGATAAATCTACAATATAATTTTTAGAAAAAAAGGTAAAATGAAGTATCCTGTTGCTATTGAATAAATAAATAATTTAAAAAACTATAATTGAAACCTGTTTTAAATTTATCTTAAAAACATTAAAAAAAATTGTATTTATATTTTTTTGTCCTTCTGACCTTTTTGTAACCACCATGACATCCCCCCATCAGATAATCAGATAATGAGTGAGTGAGTGAGTTGGGTTTAACACCGCTTTAAACAGTATTCTAGTTACATCGCAGCGTATCAGCTTAATGTGGGAGGAAAGCCCGAAATGATGCAGGTCTCAGACGTTTACCACTTCAGTGAAACGGGTATGGGGCTGACAAACCTAGAAACATAATCAGGGCGAATCAATCTAAATTTATTATTTTATGTACAGTTTTACTCTTATTAATTGTTAAATGTTCTTTGTAGGGAGAGGTGTTTAAATAGGTTGAACCTGTTCACCATACCCATTCCTTTTTCTTGGAAATAAATATTGTTTCAATCACATCAGAAAAACTCAACATCAGGTTGTCATATTGGAAGTTAGTTTGTTCAATTCACACTAACCCAAACAATTCCAAGTGGGTTTGTAACAACTTCCTATTCACAACATTTGTCACCCCAAGAGTCGACTGTATTATGAAACCTTACATAAAAACCTAATTATGCAAATAAACAAATTATCTTGAAACAACAAATGAGCAAACACTATCAAGAGTAACTTAAGAAACCATGTTGAGATCTTCAGTGCCGTGGAGGGCAATGGGGATGAATTACATAATGTCTGTGATTGCTTAACTTTGTGACTAAACACCCTTCACTGTGTTGGTATAGACCACGGACGTATATACGTCTTTGGTATAGACTAATTCCTCGTATAAACACAGGGGAGTTGGGTTTCTGGGAACCCTGAGGTTGTCGGTAACTCTACCACACATTACAAAGGCAGTTCATCTACTTGTGGGACTTGATCTGCTTCATTAGCTCGTCAGATAGAGTAAATTACAGAGAGAGAAATAACGGTCCTTTGAAACCTCCCTGCTTGAACAAAGTAGTCAATGCACATGTGTTAACATTAGGCTTGTTTGCAAGAGAAATTTACTGTCAGGGCTGTAAGTATTTCTCAACCAACAAAGAACCTGGAATACCATATTCAATGTAATAAGCGCCAAGGTGCTCTCAAAATTAGAAAAAAGGGGGCTCTTATTAGAATATTATTTTGGTGAAAAAACAGTTGAAAGATAAATTTTGTGGTTTATGCTGACAGCCTGAAATGTTTATACGACAGATATATTTTTTCAGAATTTAATTGCCCATAATAAAGGGTGCATATAACACACCAGTGCGTATTATACGCGAATAAATAAGTCTTGTGTACATTGATCAGTCGGAAGGGGTGCTAATTGGGATTGTTCACTAGCCAATATATTAGCAAATATCGCCGTGGGCGCCTATTAGAGCGGGGCGCTTATTACGTCGAAAACGGTATGTGTCCAAAAGTATATGTTCCTGTAGTGAAATTGTTCCTCTAAGGTTTTCTAAGGAAATTATACCAGGAAAATCTTTCCATAAAACATTTGCACTGGCAATATTTGTTCCTTATGGAACTAGTTCCATTTGGATCTGAATATCAGTGGCATATGTAATGTAGAAATCAGAAGAGTCTGTTGATTCTACTTCTGGTTGATATACAGTCTAGTCTTGTTACTCTGACACTCGTTAATCCGACAATCAGCTTTATCCAACACCAATGATTGGAACCTATTAGTTAACAATGTAACATAACAATATGAATATTTCATTTTTAATTTTTTTAATTACGTGTTTGTATCGTTATCTGTCATCTGTCTGATTTTCGATCACAAACGTTGATAGTACTTAACATCCGACATAATCATATGCAACCATCTAATATGTCAGGACTGTATATTGTCTTCATAACTTTGCATAATGACCTATATTTGTGTCAGTTTGACTCATGTAAATTTTGTTCACTATGGTCGTTGAATTCCTGGCTCAAAATCAACTGCACAACTATAGTGTGACCATTCAAAACAAGTTAAAGGACACCCACAATTGGAGGGCTGTGTGTTGCAATACTCACCAGCCATGACAGACATTTTTTTTAAATATGGGTTTTCTTTAACATGTTTAACGTCTATTGTGTAGTTTACATAAGCTCTTGGCTTGCATATGTGTTGCAGTAGTGAAACATGATCATTTATATATATATATGTATATACATATATCACCACTCTATGTGTACACAAATAAAGCATGCTACAAAAAACTGATGATAATTTCTTGAATGTACAAAGTCAGCCAACATAAACATGATAAAGAGTTGGTATAAGAAAAAATGTCTGGCAATTGAATTTTCATTATTCATCATAAATCTGAATTTTTATCTCTGAGGCCATTATTTATTTGTGGATCATGAATCTTGTCTGAGTCAGTCACCAAGTTCATACTTATCCAAATGTTACATCAAAAGATATGTCTTGACTACTTTGTGTTTATAGAAAATAATAAAACAACTAGAACTAATGATTCTATATTTGACATTCCTAGTTTATTCTTTTTTATTTCTTTTTTATTCATGGTATGTATAAACATATAAAATCACAATGTACAATGGAATAAAAATAAAGCTAAGTTCAAATCGAAGTTAGTATAATAGATAATTGAGACAAAATGTCACAAGAAAGAGTTACAAAAAGTATAGACTTTGTAAGTACACCTCTAGAGATGAGTTGATACATCTTACAATGGTTATTTTCTATTTCACCCCACAGTACATTGTTAATAGTTCAGAAATACACTGTAGAACATAGTAGAACACTGCTCACAAATCATGAACAGAGAGACAATATCTCCACATATAAACATTGCACAAAACATGGACTGAATGACTGGCGAGATGAATGCCTGCATTGGCAATGTCACGGATCTGTGTATACACTCTTAAAGGGGCATTGAGGGGCCAGGTAGATGTGGTATGTGATTGTCTCCCTGAAAGGGAATTCACACATAACTATTGATTTGACCATTTAAGTGGTGGACTGGGGGATTACATGTTTTGCCTACACGTTAGGAATGCAGGCAACTGGAAGCAGTTACTGTAAAATGTATAGCCCAAAATGATTCTCTCAACAAAGAAATGGCAGTTAAAGTGTGATCTTTATGTTCAGCAGGGATTATGACCATTGATACCAGGATTCCTGATGAAAGTATAGCACTTTGATAAAGTCTGTGAGACGATGGTTCTGGCGCCAATGGTGTTAGCAACAAATGTTGTCGTGAAGGTACTGACCAATAGTAAGTAGAACCTTATAGAAAGAGCATATTATAACAAGTCATATTCAGATTTTATGACCATGATGATAGCTTTCTTCAAAACCTATAAGAACACAGGTCTGACCGAAACTGTTTAAGGCAATCCATGTTTCAGTGACCATGAATTGAAAACTTCTGCACCCTCCTTCTTCCTGAAGCTTCCACTGTCCCCCAAGACACACTGGATCAAGAGGGGCACTCAGATCAGGTCTGTCGGGAACATTTTGTAACTTGCAGGTGCTTGGTTAGAGCAGCCGTTTCCAAGAGTTGTGCATTATTCGTTATTTTAATCTCCAGCATCTCACCGAGAGCTGTTATGCATACGTGGCTCCAGATTCAGTGGACTATTGGATGAACATTGTGCACTAAGGTAGGGTATGAAAATTGTCATTTCATATTCAGCAGATTTTGTCTGTATATTTAGGAAAGATATTACAGAGTATTATCACAGAAAATGGATAGTTTGTTGTATCACAGTCATTAACATACAGATTTTATTTGAATCACAAATTTGATAAATGGTTACGATAGGGCACCCCACATACCAATAATTGTAGGTTTCACATGATAAACATCTACAGATACAATCTGCATTCCTCCCACATTAAGCTGATATTCCATGAAAACTGATTTACTGTTTGGAGTGGCATTGAGCCCACATAACTCATTCTCTCATTCCCGGCACATAAAATAGTCATATAGTACCTAAAATATGCAATCGCCCTGGCATTTGATAGGCAAACCAAATAGTTTTTTACATTTCTGCTTCCATAAAACTTGTTTGTTTGTTTAATGTCACACTCAACAATATTCCAGCTATATGATGGTCTGTAAATAATCGAATCTGGACCAGACAATCCAGTGATTGATAACATGAGCATCGATCCACACAATTGGGATACGATGACATGCATCAACCAAGTCTGAAAGCCTGGCCACCCGGTCCCGTTAGTCGCCTTTTACGGCAAGCATGGGTTGCAGAAGACCTATTCTACCCCAGATCTTCACGGGTCCATCAATCTTTACAAAAATTAGACCACACCCACAATCAGAGTACTATTTTGTTATATGGCAGTGTAATTTATTGTTAAACAATGATTGTAACTGTATAACATTGTTTCTGTTGAGATTCAGTAGAAGTTCATGGCATTTTATATGGACAATGATTAGATGTCAGGAATGTAGTACTATTTTATGTAAGCAGTGGTGAGGAAAGTATTATGTTTAGATACTCGAACTATCCGTAAACTTCTGAAATGGCATGGATGGATATCAAGCATTATAGAAACATGTTGAATATTCTGTGACGTTCTAGTGACACTGGACTGGTCTGGCACTGTGTAGAAAGTGTTGGATTCTGGTTAGACTAGATTAGATTCTGGTAAGTGGAGCGGTGCGTCCCTGTCTCATGTTACGTTTCATCTGACATTACATCAAGACCAGCTTTCATGTGAAGATCACATTTAAGCCTGGTGTTCAGCCTAGGCCTATCTGGGAAGCTTGACCACTGTTGCGGTGAGGTGATTATTATTCTTGTCATTTCCACTGCTCTCAGATTTTATACTGCCATTGAATATTGTACTACCACTCTGTTGTGTAATGCCATTGTAATTGCTGTGCAGTAATTTGTGTTGATTTGTAGACCTAGTTAATTTTGTAATACATTTGTTGATTGTATACCATTTGTTGGTTGCTTGTTGGTTTCACACTAAATTCTTTTACGTACAGATTTCTGGGTTAACATATTGCTTTAATTTCGGAATTGACACATAACTCCTTATTGGCTAATAACAGAGTGGGCGGGGCTTGTGTTGGGTAATTATGATGAATCATGTCACTGATTTCGTATTATCAACTACTTTTTGTGTGTGTCAATGAGCAAATGAGCAGTCTGTGAAGTTATTGCTGATTTTATTATTTAATAAATTGACTTTGACATGTTTTCGCGTTTACAGAAGGATAGATGTGTAAATCCGTACTGGTTTTTACGTACAGTGAACTACGTTTATAACGAACTCAAAGGGATTACTGATTTAGTTTGATATAACCATAGTTTGTTATAAGCATATACAGCATACATACACCAAATGGCCGGGACTAAAAAATATGTTCATTATATCCATCAGTTCATTATAAGCATGTTTGTTATAAACATAGTTTACGGAGTATACTTCCATAACCACAAACAAAAATATTGAAGTTAATTATTAAATATTTTTTATATTACAACTTTCCAGACATGAACTAAAATCAAAGTCTTAGAGAAAGTACACATTCTCTCGTTGCATATAAACCCTGGACCCTGATTGTGAGGCTACCGACATTACCGCTCTGCTACCGGGTTGCAGTGGACAATGGAACATGAAACTATGCTTTAATCATGTTAATAAGGAAAGTCTTTTTGAATAAACATTCTCAGAGCTCGAGATAAGCTTTTGGTGTTGTGGGTATTTTACCCATGCATTTTAAAATCATTGGGTATCAGTAATTCTATCTGGGTATTCAAATTTCTGTTACCCACTAGTTTTTACACATGTGGGTATTTAAGTTAAATATTTAAAAACACTATTCATCTAGTCCCTGCAAACTGGTGTCCTGTGGGTTCGAGAGCTTTATATAGGACCCCAAAATACCACGATACTTCCACAAGAAAGTGTGATGGCAAATGATCATGATGTAACTGTCATCTTGGAATTTGGCAAGGTTGACGGAATGCCCGTTTATAATTCCAAAATATGTTGCTGATTTGCTAATTGAATACGCAGGGTTACTTCACAATATTTTGATGATACGCACAAGTTTTATTTTTGTAGCGTATCTGTAATGTTCGTTGCGTATTTAATACGCTTGGATTTTATTTTACTGCGTATGTCTGCATTTCTGATGAGTATTTTACACAGATACGCAGCTTATCTGGAGCTTTGTCATTCTGTTTCTTTTGTAAACATTACAACGGAAAATATACATAAATACTGATTCATTTGGATTTGGATTTTAGTAATACCAATATGTATCTTGGTGTCATTGCCATTACAGTTTCATTTGTGAAACCTCCATTGCAAATACAATGACGCAAATGCATCGACCATTACACCTAAAAAAGCATGGTGTCACAATCTATTTTAACGATTCTTCCTGTGACAAATTAGCAATAGTTAGGGGAGAGAAGATACTAAAAACACATTTTGTATTGTCTGATTGGCATTCTAGAAGTTGGTCTGTAAATAAGAACACAACACTTTATGGACAAAGTGACATTTTGATGTAGATTCTTTTACTGTTGTCAAGCTGGAATGAATACAACCAAGTGATAAGAGGTATGTATATACGTAATACATACATTCCCGCTTGTCAACGGTGTAAGAATCTACATCGAAACATCGCTAATGCAATTAACCTGAGGCTGTTATCCATGAAGTTGTACCTTTCATGATTTTCTCACAATTTGTATTTTAAACAAATTTATACGTAATCTTTAGACAGAATATCTATTATGTTAATGCAACAAGACACCCTGGTATTTAGTTAACACTTAACGGGTATTATACACTACTACTGTAAAATTTGTGAAATTTGTTTCCAAAAGTAATCAGGTAACGAGGATATTTGTAACCCATATAGTCTGAAATATCTTACTACTGAATTCACAAGTGTGCCCCCCCCCCCCCCCCCCCCTCCCCCCTCCTCAACTCTCTGCCCTTTTGTTTCCAATTTCTCTTTGTCAATCTCTGTAATGTAGCCAAACAGCACAAAATATGACAACTCAATAACTTCTTGTCATGTTGGTGTAAAGTGGGTAGTTGGGGTTCACAAAATTTGTACAACGCCACTCAAAACATGTTTAAAAACTCTGGTAAAAAACTGCATGTGAACTATATTCCATACATAATTTACTTAAAAACAGAAACCTATAATTTTTTTAAGTCAAGGTTAGAAAATTCTACAAACATGAACATAAATCAAGACAGACAATTAAAATGTCCACAGGAAAACAAAGTGCAGTAAGTATTCAGAGAGTGATTCACACATCTTGTGCTACATCATACGAAGTATGTTAGGTATTGAAAGAGTCTTACACAGACGTGCACTTAATATTCAAAGAGTCATACATCTGCATAGACAGTATGTGTAGTATGATAGATGGGAGGTGTATATCAGGCTATACCAACCAGGAACACAGTCTTGTCCACGAACATAAAGCTGGACTGTTTTGTAAGGTTTTTCTTCTTTCCTCCATCCATATTAGAATTGACCACTGTCTCACAGATCCACTGGAAAAAGGTTTCTTCTTTTTGGTCAACTCAACACCATCACAAGTTGGTATTTTCACATCACCCTATAGTCAACTCAGAGGGAAGACTGTCAAATGATCGTTTGAATCCAGATCAAAAGCAGTCTAATCTCTTAATCCACCTAGGTTTTTTTCTATTGACACAAAATGAATTGAATTTTTTCATTCAGTATCAAAAGAATCACATATCATTCCATGACAACAGCTAAGGAGTGAGACGTACATGCACTTAGCAATCCCACACAGTGCTGACGCTAATCTACCATTCTGAAGAAATGGAAAAGTTGTTTCCAAACAGTGATAAGGTGGTCTGATGTTAACATGACGAGAAAATGATTAACTACCCCTATATCTACGACTCCAATACCGGTATTGGAAGAAACGTAAAAGGGGAGTGATAAATAGGTCCATTGGCTCCACGGAGAATACCAGAATCATTCTGTTTGGCGTCACCCCAGTAACGTGCACATAAAATGTATTATGGCTCCCGTAAGGTCTCTTATCTCAAGCTTCACATCTGTATAAGTGTAGTTGCCATCTATATGAAAGCAGGGTCAAAACTACCCCGTATTGTGAAAGCGGTTGTAAATTTCCCGCATGGCAGTTTATGATGATTTAGACCCATAGTGAACAATACAACCTTTACAATCAGATGACACTTGGTTGTAAATTACAGCCCCAAACGTGGAGAGAGGAGACAAATTTGAAGTTTCACCTCAATGACTTCGAGAAACACAATGTAATATCCCTTGGTGTCCACTAGGTGACACAATAAAGAAGTCTGTGCATTGTACATGAGAGTTGACAGCTAACAATAGCCACGTTCCTCCGCTTACAACGAGATGCCTGAAGCACATAAATACACATGCATTGAAGGTAAATGTGTTTTATTCCTATCTAAAGAAAAAAATATATAAACCTGTTTTCTTTTTCTCTGGGATATAAATCACATACTACGGTGGCCCATCTGTTTTTCCATATTTTGATATTTCACTTACTTTTATCGTAACCTTTTGCAAATTAACACGATTTGTCTTACAAATATGTGATAAATCATGTGTAAAGAAGATATTGAATTGCTGAAAAGTGAAATGAAAATGTCAAAAACAAAAACGAAAATGTCAAAAACGAAAATGAAAATGTCAAAAACAAAAGCGAAAATGTCAAAAGCTAAATTGAAAATACAGAAAACTATTTCCATCGCGGTGACAATATTCCAACCGCGGTGGAAATAGTTTTCTGTGGTTTCATTTTAGTTTTTGACATTTTCTTTTTTGTTTTTGACATTTTCATTTTAGTTTTTGACCTTTTCGTTTTGGTTTTTGACTTTTACCATTTTTGTTTTTGACATTTTTGCTTCACATTTCAGCGACTTAATAGCTACTTGAAAGTACATTTTCCATGTTTTGGGTTGTTTTGATACATGATTTATCACATATTTGTATAACAAATTGTGTTAATTTGCAAAAGGTTACGATAAAAGTAAGTGAAACATCAAAATATTGAAAAACAGACCCCATGTCCCTTATGGGCCACCGTAACATACAGATGCTTGAATGTATTGTATGGGTCATTGTTTATGAAAGAAAATATACTCAGTTCTTGTGATCATGCACTTGGGAATCACGGCACTGGTGATCCTGTCAAATTTCTGAGTCATAAATGTTACCCCAAAATAGATTTGTATATCAAAGGATAACCGTTCAATAAATATTTAGATATTTCAGAATAGATCCTTATCTCAATCACAATGGTATAATCAGAACAGGAAATTGTGACATTCATTTTTTTTGTAAATCTGTGTTTGAGCACACATCTAACACAAAGCTTTGATTCCCAAATCTTGATTTCCCAGCAACAGGATGAGGTATCTACCCTTGCTGTCACAACCACCTGTCACATGACACTGTTGCCCGACAGACAGAAACAGTTGTATTGAATGAATGAAGATGTTGCAATCCAGAAATTAGCGTCTCTTCACATTCTCCAAGGAAAAAAATGGTTATAAAACACAATCTTTGGCAAAGAGGCCATTTTTTCTTCCTGCCTGTTATCTTAAGATATTTAAGCAATACAAAAAATAAATCTCAAATAGTAATTTGACATGAGAAGGGAGGTAACTTTTTTAATTGTCATCAAAAGTTTCATTGAAATATCATGACATTAACTTTTTTTACTTTCAATTTTTTTTAAAAATTCATGCTGCCAGTCATAACTATAAAATAATCACTTTGTTGCAGTTTTATTACATTTTTATTTATACCAATAACTCAACAATATATTGGTTTACAAAAAGAAATGCATAAAATACATAAAAAGCAACATAATCCACGACATTTACCAGACTTTTATTACAGGATATTTACATCACCTAGTCTGAGATTGACTGATGTATGCGCAGGCAGTGGAAGGGTTTGTTCTTGTTGGGTTGGTTTGACATGTCAAACAACTTCAAACATTTCTAATCAAAAGCAATAAAACACAAATAAGACAGCATGAGGACGGTGTAAATATCTCAATAGCCATTTGTAATCTTTTCCAAATAGTAAAGCATGACTATACGATGTTTAGCGAAACGATTACGTGACATATCAGTTATTCAGTCGGACATTTGTGACTAACTACAAATCACCCAAAACAAAACACCCACTTGTGGAGGCTTTTAATGCTTGCAAAAATTGCTTGTACTGTACAAGAGTATCATGGAATATTGCGTATAATGATCCAGTGTATCATGGAATATTGCTTGTAATGTACCAGTGTATCATGAAATATTGCTTGTAATGTTCAAGTGTATCATGGAATATTGCTTATAATGTTCAAGTGTATTATGGAATATTGCTTATAATGAACCAGTGTATCATGGAATATTGCTTGTAATGTACCAGTGTATCATGGAATATTGCTTGTAATGTGTCAGTGTTTCATGGAATATTGCTTGTAATGTACCAGTGTATCATGGAATATTGCTTTTAATGATCAAGTGTATCATGGAATATTGCTTGTAATGTTCCAGTGTATCATGGAATATTGCTTGTAATGTACCAGTGTATCATGGAATATTGCTTGTAATGTACCAGTGTATCATGGAATATTGCTTGTAATGTACCAGTGTATCATGGAATATTGCTTGTAATGTGTCAGTGTTTCATGGAATATTGCTTGTAATGTACCAGTGTATCATGGAATATTGCTTGTAATGTTCCAGTTTATCATGGAATATTGCTTGTAATGTACCAGTGTATCATGGAATATTGCTTGTAAAGTACCAGTGTATCATGGAATATTGCTTGTAATGTGTCCAGTGTTTCATGGAATATTGCTTGTAATGTACCAGTGTATCATGGAATATTGCTTTAAAAGATCAAGTGTATCATGGAATATTGCTTGTAATGTACCGGTGTATCATGGAATATTGCTTGTAATGTACCAGTGTATCATGGAATATTGCTTGTAATGTACCAGTGTATCATGGAATATTGCTTGTAATGTACCAGTGTATCATGGAATATTGCTTGTAATGTACCAGTGTATCATGGAATATTGCTTGTAATGTGTCAGTGTTTCATGGAATATTGCTTGTAATGTACCAGTGTATCATGGAATATTGCTTGTAATGTGTCAGTGTATCATGGAATATTGCTTGTAATTAGAGTGTATCATGGAATATTACTTGTAATGTACCAGTGTATCATGGAATATTGCTTGTAATGTACCAGTGTATCATGGAATATTGCTTATAATGTTCAAGTGTATCATGGTATATTGCTTGTAATGTACCAGTGTATCATGGTATATTGCTTGTAATGTACAAGTATAATGTGAAATATTGACTTAAAGAACATACTTTTTATTTGTTAGTTTATTAGGACATTATAAGTCTACTTTATGATAGAAATACAATATGAATGCTGGAGAGTTCGCTTCACCATTCTTTCAGTGACTTTACACATTTACCTGCTGCAGTGAGGTTGACTGTAAAGTCATCATATGATAAACAGTTTCATACATGACACCTCCATACTCAGGTAGACTGTGAGATATCTTTAAGAGTGTTCCTCAAAACCAAAAAGTTTATTCTCAAACAAAACACAACAGGGTCTATTTTTAGTTGACACCTTTGTTGGGCAGGCTGTTTTGTTTGATATCCAGCTTCATCCAGAATGCCAGACAGTAAATGAAAGCCACACATGGTCTTCTGCTTTCCATTTTTTGTCAAAAAAAACAGGGGCAGACTTTTGATAAACACCATAACAACTTCAAGTATGGTAAATAACTTAATTGTATTTAATGTAACAAATTAACTATAATTGCTGATGTTCATAAGGTATAGTTTGATACAAAATCAATTACTTGTTCCCTTATAATATCAAAAACTGACAATGTTAATAAAACTTTCAATAAAATGATAAAATTAATTAATTAGCAACCATGGAATTTTGTAATAACTTGTAACAGTGTAGCAATAACGACAACAACAAAAATCATCAACTAAAAGAATAGTAATTCACACATTATACCAGATTGTACCAAATTAACAACATAAATATACCGTATTCGACATAATAAGCAACCAGGGTGCACTCAAAATCAGAAATAGGGGGCTCTTATTAGAATATTATTTTGGTGAAAAAAAACAGAGTTAAAGGATAAATTTCGTGGTTTATGCTGACAGCCTGAAATGTTGACATACGACAGATATATTTTTCCAGAATTTGATTGCCCATAATAAAGGGTGCATATAACACATGAGTGTGTATTATATAAATAAGTCTTGTGTACATTGATCAATCGGAAGGAGTGCTAATTGGGATTGTTCACAAGCCAATATATCAGCAAATACGCCGTGGGCGTATATTAGAGCGGGGCGCTTATTTCGTCAAATACAATCAGTCTAAATGCAAAAAAGTTTGACTCTGCTGTGAATATACAAGACTAAATTATCCTAATAGTTTGACTCTGCTGTGAATATACAAGATTAAATTATCCGATCTTCTTTGAGGTACTACTTTTATGACCATGTTGTGCCAGTCATTAAGTTGTGCATATTGATCTCCCATTTCAGTCCTGCCATAGCCTATAGGAATGCTGCCACCCGCCTTAAGCCTATCAAGTCTGAGCATGTCGACGGAGCTCATCAGCTGGCCTCAAGCATGTATGGGACTTTCCCCGACCACCCAACGGGCCTAGGTAAACAACAATAAACAGTCCAGGTAACGTGTCTAGATCTGTCACATGACACTCGAGTTACCCCCGACAGGTACACCAAGTGGCTTGCCGTCAACCCAAGGGGAACCAACATTCAAGCAGGAACATTCAACACGGAACAGATCATACAAACTAGAAAACAATAAAGACAAAATACAGATTTTCTGTAATTAGTAAATAAATTAGTAATATATTGGAAATAAGATTATGGATGTTTGAAAATATTCAATCATAACTGACTTAAAACAATATTTTCAAATATATTTATAAGTAAAAAACAATTGAAAATTTAATTTAACACATTTATGGAAATGGAGAGTAAATGTTCACATAAACTGAAACAAGTGTTTACAAATATTATCACAATATAATGTTAAAGGTTCTTAAATTCACATAACTGATTGTAACATGATTTTAAATTATAAAATTTTATGGAAAGTTTATTTTGACATTTCATTTCTGAATAGTCAACCTCAAAATTCTCCTGGAGGAGGGAAATATAATTCTATTTGTTGACTGTGTTAATTATGTGTGACTCCATGCGTGATCAATCACATTAGGCATATTGTGTTACACTCACAGCTGGCTGTCAGCTGGATTATCTCCCCTGCATAGATCTTATCACCCTTGAGAGCTCTGGTACAATCATGTGCAATGTGCTGTGAAATATGATTAATAAGGTGTGATATTAACATATGTATAACCTGCTAATAAACACTACTAAACTGATTAGTGTCAATACTCTCTGCTTCACCAAATAATAATCTGACATGTGATTGATATTAATGAAATCTCTACACGTGGGCTATACACACAAATCTGTTGTAGCATAATTACTACCACAGCATACATGCAATCTGCCGAGAAATTATGCATACACTAAAACATATTTCTTGGCTTAAAGTGGGATAACTAATAACATGAAGGTGTGGAGGTTTCTTTTGTCCATTTCATCATGCAGATGGTAGATGGTTATAAATAAGACTGATAGTAGGGCTGGGACGGTTAACTCGAGTACCCGGGTCAGGTGGGTACTGAGTAGGACCCGGGTACCCACAGGACTACCCGGACCCGTGGTTAGTCACATGATATATGTTTAATGACAAAAAGTATCTAAAACTCTATGTTTAAACTACAAGTCACTAATGTTCGCAGTGCTTCCTGACTACTACGCCCTTTCCTTCTGACTTTTATATGTTTGAGTATAAACAAAACTTCAGTCAACTTCAGTGTATACACCAGATCTTTTCATACATGTATCTAAACACATTTTACCAGAGCTACGGTCAAACTTTTCCCAATCGGACAGTTTGTACCTACCTCTTGAGACATACAGCAGGTACCCGGGTAGGGTAATAAGGGGGTGGGTACCCGGGTAGTAAATTTGGACTCGTCCCAGTCATATTTTCTATATTACAATTGTAGCAATGTTTGGACGAAGATCCTAATGCTGTTCTGTCTTTTAATGTGATTTGTTCGGTAATACATCAAATTAAATTTATCATCAACTTACTAAACAGTTAGGGATCGGACTAGACAGAATAACTGGCAGTTGTTACAAAATCATTTCTGTCTGCTAACTAGAAGTCTATCATATACGTCCCATGAAGATCCAGGGTAAAATAGGTCTTCAGCAACCCATGCTTGCCGTAAAAGGCGACTATGCTTGTCGTAAAAGGCGAATAACGGGATCGGGTGGTCAGGCTCGCTGACTTGGTTGATACATGTCATCGATCCCAATTGCGTGGATCGATGTTCATGATGTCAATCACTGGATTGTCTGGTCCAGACTCGATTATTTACAGACCGCCGTCATATAGCTGGAATATTGCTGAGTGCGGCGTTAAACAACAAACCAAACCAAAAATCTATGATATACATCCAGCTATAAGTTAATGATTACCCTAATCACACAGTGACAATTGATGTCTCAGCTTCTCCCACGAATTACATTGTGAGTGAGTGAACTGGGTTAAATCATAGTTAATGACACTTTAAACATTATTGCATTGATATCAGGGGAGGAAAGTCTGAAGTGATGAAGGACTTTGGTGAAACCCACGAGCACGGGCATGGTGCTGATAAACCTAGAAACAAAATCAGGGCAAACCGGGAATCGAACCCAGCATCATAGGTTTCTGGTGTCCCCAATTACATTGTGACAAGTGATATCTCTGTTACACCTACAAATTACATTGTCTTGACCAATTAATGTTTCAGTGCCGTACAATAAGCATTCCATAATTGCACTAGACTGGAAATGATAATTAAGCGTTGTTTTTCTTTTATGCTCTGATAACATGTAGTTTTATTTTCATTTTATTATCATTATCCACAGTTCCAGACAAGCTGAGTGATGATATAATATAATTGACTTCATAATGATGTTTATGGGTCCATATTGTCTTAAACAACATAATGAGGTTCCACTGTAGTCATTTTGATTATAATCAATTCATAGTCAAACATTAATGAACATGATGAAAGTACAACTTGCAACATTTATAGGAGTGATGTAGAATCTCATTACTTAAAAACAACATGTGAAGAAGATAATCATGACAAGGCCTGTACACACATCTATACGTTATCCATAGATTTTATGTTCCCCCCACCTACACAGAGCAATGATCAGCATTAATCACCATGGTCTGCGGAGTTATGTCCCTTTATTCTGCATAGGAATTTTTCATTTAACTTACAGCCATGAGTCTATAGCCTGGGTAAAATATCTTTTGATCCAGTAAGCTCAGCTTATACTGTTCTATACACTAAGCCTAAAATCTACTGAAAATAATTATAAAATACAAGTTCTGGCTTGTATACACACTCAAAAGTATTTTACACAAACTGAAATGTGATATGTTTTGTGAAAGATTTGAGCTTATATGTAAACAAATTTAATAATGAACATTGCACAAACATTTAAGGAGTGAATATATCATTGTATGCCACATCAGCAATAAGTATGTTTGGTATGTACTCAGATCAGTTTATAAATGAATGTATTTAAACTGTTATAAGCAGGTTCACAAACTGTAACCTGTCAACATGGTCAAAATGTTCAAACCATACATCTCAAAAGGGTCATAAGACATTAATAAATCGATGTATGCTGCCATGTTTAGATCATCAACAGGAATGGTGATTAACTGATTCTTAAATGTCTTCATGAAATAATATCAAATCAAACAAGGCACAGTATATTTAACATCAGCAAGTAACAAAACATTCATTCATATGCATCAATAAACACTTACTAGTCCTTGACTTATGTTGAGTTTAGTAGCAGTTCTTGAAAAGAGTATTCTCATCTTGATGATGACAAATACTTTACATCAACTGATGAATTACAAACAATTATGTCTTATGAGTCACAGGGTACCCAGTTTTCTACGAGACTATGTGAGCTAGCCAACAGGGCTAGTTGCCTTCTACCTCCAACTAGTTTGTTAAACTGTTAATAACTGTAGTCTAGTGGGCAAGTGTAAACATGTAACACTGTTAAATAGGAGGATTATGATCCCCTGCCCGGTGCCATTTTGTCGTCTAGGTTAGAAATTGTAATTAATACCTATGAGGAACTGAGACGCTGTCTCTGTGAGATCATGGTGATTATGTTGACGGACACAGAGTAACATGGAATAAACAAACATCAATTAGACACTACAGCAGATTGATAAAAGTAGTGATTATTACTGACTTATCATGCTTATCAAAGAGATTTTTTCATCACTAGCAATCCTTAAACAATATCAAGACTGCTTCAATATGTAATAATATCTGTGAAAGAAATATTTGTTATTGTGGAAAGTTATCCACACTAGAGTACAACAGAGCACCCTGATAAGTGGGATAAACCACACCATTGTCCCAATTTAAGGTATTAAATAAATATTACATATAAGTATGCCTTGTATAGCATTTGGGGACATATTTTAACCATGCAGTTGGCAAGGAAAATCAACACCCGAAACAGAATCTTTTATTATAGAATATATTGTTATATCTTCACAAAGTATTAATGGCCTTTTCTGAATTTTTTTACATGACCATGCTGTGACATGGCTGGGCCTATTGTGTTTTTGCGATATTCACATTTTGGACATCAGGCATGATTCGTAGGGTTTCTTATTACATAATGTGATTTGATATCTAGATCTCTTTGTATTTGGAAAACAGTGCATGTCTATCCTCTAATGATAACCAGTGGAAACTATATCAGTTCCTTTCATTTCCTTGTGAATGAATGTTTCAACAACATCATATTTAATTAATAACAAATATTTGTAAAATAAATATCAAATATCATATCATCCACCATGATGTAGGCCTATATAGATCTATGTACGGGTTAAAATAGCTTTTTCCGTAACATGAAGACATGTTTTAAGATGAGAGAGGCTGTTAGGCCTATATGGGTATTTTGATACCAACATCGAATTCGTATTTTATAAAATTTTACAGAGTTGTGCATTGTCAGTGCATTGACATACTTGAACTTGTGCACTGTCAGTGTGTGCCAGTGGGTTGACAGCGATCAGGGTGTCCTAACCGGATCGATTTTATCACTGTAAACATGGTTTTTTTTTATGTATAATGTGATAAACTCAAAATGATTTTCTAATTAAATTTATCATATTTCTGTTGACAATACCTGCTTTTCTTTTATGTTTTCACCGGGTCCTAGGGCAGCGAGTCGAGTTTTCTTGGCCTCGGCGCTCGTGGCCCGGTTTTTCGAGCCTCGGCCAAGATTTCCGTCCGACATTGCGGATGTATAAACCTCCAAACCAAATCAGCTGCCTTTTCAGTTGGACAGATCCCGTGGGTTAGTTTCTTTCAAAACTTTCTGTGTGCAAACGAGCATCTGATGTTCAACACAAACTAGCCGCCATCTTGAATGTTTACCAGTTTCCACGCTACGGCACGAAAGGTCAGGGGTCGTTTGCATATGTGCGGCCTCATTACCGTACAGCTGATAGCAGGTGCCCGTTAGCTGCAGGTGCGAGCGAAAATGTATATTTTTTCCTGTTCAGTATTGAGAAACCGGGTTATTTCAGTGACACTAACTCTCACGACTGAAATATTTGTTATCATATCAAACAATCTTAAATTAATATTCTATGGATATTTATGTAAGTTTAATCAGGATTCTCCCTAAACGACCTTGACCTTTGAAGTATTTTACTGTTATATAGTTATATATATATATATATATATATATATATATATATAGTTATATAGTTATATATATATATAAGGAAGATAGTCGTAAAAGCCAAATCTACATAATATCTCTTTCTTTGACGTGTATAATTTGACACCCAATTTATTTTCTTGTTTTACGGATAGTTCTACCCTAATATTTACAAAAGTAAACAAAATACAAATGACGCGTTTTCTTACAAATACATCGTTTCACACGCGTTTTTATTTGTTTTTATCAATTTGTATTGTTTTAAGAGGCGACTAAATGGATCGGGTGTCCACACTCGATGAAGGGGCGGGATGGGGTAGCCTAGTGGTTAAAGCGTTCGCTCGTCACGCCGAAGACCCGGGTTCGATTCCCCTCATGGGTACAATGTGTGAAGCCCATTTCTGGTGTCCCCCGCCGTGATATTGCTGTAATATAGCTAAAAGCGGCGTAAAACCACACTCACTCACTCGGTGAATTGGCTGACCGCGTGTCACCCCACCCGACGGCGTGTAGAACATGCGTGGGACGTACGTTGCTCATAATATCAGCTACTGGTATAGACTCGATTATTTAAACGTCGCCGTCATATATCTGGATTATTACTGAGAGCGGCCTTCAACAACAAACATGCAAATCTGTTTAATCCTAGACTTGTTATGGGCATATCATCCCATGGATGATGGAGCATAGTCGGATTACCTGCACCAGCTGAAACAACTTCAGCAATGATACAAGCCTCATCATCTCTATCCGGCATGAAGATAACTTGAAGGAACACTATGTCTCTATTCCTTTGTCATTACCTTCAGGTAAGCTGTTTCAATACCACACCGGTAGACTAACACTTAGTCTCTGAAATCTTATATTACACAATATCCTTCTTGACTCTAAAAAAAATAAAACAATCCCTATGCTGATTTCAGAGTGGAATAGAGCTAGCGTGAGCTGGCTAGACTTGCTTTTGTATGCATTTCTAGATTATTTTTTTTCATAAAATAAATATATTCCACGGTCATGGTGCAGGACTACCACGCCGGGTGTAATCAATGATGTAAGCCGATTTTCAAAGTTGGCCCTTTGTTTCAAAACACCCTGCATCTGGTCAGTGATTTGCCATTATGACATCATAGGCTGATCCGGTGGGTCCAGAGGTCCGGGCTCCCTCCTTTTAAAAACCAAATCTAGTACAGTAAACAACGTTTATAACGAACACGCTTATAACGAACTGACTGATATAACGAACTTATTTTTTAGTCCCGGCCATTTGATGTATATATGCTGTCTATATGCTTATAACGAACTACGGTTATTACGAACTAAAATTAGTGGTCCCTTTGAGTTCGTTATAACCGTAGTTTACTGGATGTTGTAGACACAATCTCCTTCCCAACCAAGAGAGGATTTTGAAATTTTAGACCCCTCCCTTTTATGAATGCTTGGGTATTATGATGATTTTACTTTCACTAATTGCCTCGTTCAAGTTTGGATAACCCCTGTTGCATATCAAATGCTTTGTTTTGTTGAAAATATTTTAATGTGTGGTTGGGTGAAACTATTACAGCTGACCTGCTGAAAAATGATTTGAATATCAACACTCAAAGACAGGATAGTTTCCTAACCAATGGTAAATGAACAATGTAGCCTGAAAATCGGTGATAATAGAACGGATGAACTTTAAAATCAGTACTGTTGCTATAGTAACATTTCGGAAACGTTAAATTTAAAGATGTTATGATAATATTGCACGAGTGTATGCGAACCTCTGCATAATAAGTTTTATCAAAATAATAATGCAAGGTAAGTGGGTGAATAGTGCTTAACGCCGTATAGTGACTTGTAGACAGAAGTTTAAGGTTAACCGTATATGGACATCGGTGGGTATACGGTGGAAGAAGACGCCCCCGCCACGTACAATCATTCCCCGACGCCGTGGATGGTTGCTCATACTGCATGTAGACCTGGTTTGATTTCCAAGCAAGACAACACTATGTTACTCATTAAACAGTGCCTATCAAGTTCAAAATATTTTTATAGCGGTGATGAAATTGCTTTTATAACATGTTTATGCAAGTTTTACAATGTACTGTTGGCTTGCGATTCCATAGGCATATGAATAAATTATGTGTTGTATTTTGTGTTTGAAATAAATACGCTGTATGTCTGAATGCGCCTTCGTGTTAAATGCATGCCATGGTTTGGAGCTAGAAAACGCAAAACGGCTCGGTCCGTTGTTTGTTTGTTGTTTAACGCCGCAATCAGAAATATGACGGCGGTCTGTAAATAATCGAGTCTTGACCAGATAATCCAGTGATTGACATCACATTAAAGCATCGATCTACGCAACTGGGATACGATTACACGCATCAACCAAGTCAGCTAGCCCGACTACCCGATCCCGTTATTCGCGTCTGACGACAAGCTTTGTCGCCTTTTATAACAAACACACATGGGTTGCTGAAAGACCTGACCTCAGGATTTCCAGTCTGTAGTAGTAGGCAAATGAATGAGTGAGGGGGTTGTGTTAAACGTCATTTTGAACAGTATTTCAAAGGGGGTGCAGGTCGTAAACTTTTCCCAATCAGGGCAAACCACCGAGGATCAGTTTGCATTGTGCAGGATATTATTCAGGGTTAATCTTGTACCCGAAACCACAGCGGATCCTGGAACGGCTATGGGGCGCAACTAAGCACGGCGAATTTCGGCGCTTTAGGCCGTTGTGCCACCCATGCTCCACCATGGCAAACTAACAACATGAAGTACAGTATGGTGTTTGAACCGACGAAAGCAAGGTTATGTCATTATCGTGCTCCCTTCACCCAGCAACGCAAGACTGTATGTACATATTATGTATGTGTACAACAACTAAACACATAAATCACACCACTCAATACATTTGTAGATATTGAACATATATTGGATTATTGTTAACGTATATTTGAGTAGGACTCGGTGTCAAACATTTTTCGTAACACACCCATTCAACGATCGATCTTGAATAGAAGCACATTGTGCAAGTACCTTTAACTGCCCGAGTCATTATTCAGTACGACAAATGACACCTTTAAGGGCCCCACATACAATCGCTAATGTCATGCTCTCGTATTATATTCGCGCTGTACGAGATTAAATACTGAGTATTCAAATGGATATTAGTGATTGTACGTAAACCGAACGGTTCAAGAGAAGAATATATCCGGATTTAAGGTTAACCGCGTTCGGAGCCTAATTTTAAAGCAGTTTTACAAAGGAAAATGAAGATGTTCAAATGTGACTGCAGAAAAATTGAAAACCAAATAATATTCTGATGTACATACAAACCTGTAAGAAAGATAATACCACCCTTTCTTTCTTTTTAAATAAACTGAACATCCTTTGTTCAAAGTGGTTTTATTTCTAACAATAAACAAATATTAAGATGAAGTCCTGGAGACAATGTCTTTCAAGATAATACAGTTTAATTCGACCCGTGAAGATTCCAGGGTACAATAGGTCTTCAGCAACCCATGCTTGTCGTAAAAGGTGACTCTGCTTGTCGTAAAAGGCGACTAACGGGATCGGGTGGTCAGGCTGGCTGACTTGGTTGATGCATGTCATCGATCCCAATTGCGTGGATCGATGCTCATGATATTAATCACTGGATTGTCTGGTCCAGACTCGATTATTTACAGACCGCCGTCATATAGCTGGAAAATTGCTGAGTGCAGCGTTAAACAACAAAGCAACCAACCAACCAACAGTTTAATTCAAGTATGAAAGTTTGGCTGGTTATTCTACATTCCTCATTGTGTCTATAACATTTACACGAGGCTTCGGATACTTTTCTCAACAAGAGGCTGGCCAAAGTGAAAACAGTATTAACATTCTCGGTATCAAACATCCAAGTATATTACACCAAAGAAGTTGGAGATGAGTTTGGTTTAACGTCACTTTGAACAGAATCTAGTAAGTTAATGGAGTGTCAGTTTCATGTGGGAGGAAAGCCCGAAGTGATGCAGATCTCAGACCTAAGCCACTATGGTGAAACCCACGAGCACAGGTATGGTGGTGGCAAACCTAGAAACATTACCAGGGCGAACCGGTTTCGAACCCATGATCGTCGGTCCCAAGGGACGCAACTCTGTACAGAGTCCTAGACGACAATCGTATACTACTCAAAAGAAGTTAAAGAACAATAAATATTTTTAGGTGACTATGTACTGTATCTAATCTGACATAACATGACAGATTAAGTATAGTCATATGCAAATATGAAAAAATCGGGTGTTCTTAACTTCTCTTGAGTAGTTTACAATTACACACTGAATGTGGCACATGAAAACAGAGCCTTGAACTTCTACACTGAGACAGTGAGTGAGTGAGTGAATGGGGAATGACATGGGCAGCCATATCTCGTCAACTGTACAGCAGCCTCAAGCCTTCACATGACAAACCCAGTGGTCGATAGTGTGAGCAACAATTCATGCATGGTCGGATAAGACACTTGTTGCCTAAATAACCTGTTTAGTGGGTAGTTATGTCTGGAGTTAGTGGGGTTGTTTGACGCAGGTGACAGCAATCTAACTCTGTGTCTCTACCAGGAATGGGGAAACCAGTCACGATTCAACACACGCCCATTTAAACAAGGAACTTCTTGTAAGCATCATCTCTAAGACTTGCTTATCCAACCCCGCAACACAGGACGTATTCGACAGCTGAGGACAAAGGAAGCAGGTGTCATGTCTTGACTACTGCGGATTGTGGGTTCGAATCCCGGTTCGCCCCGATTATGTTTCTAGGTTTGTCAGCACCATACCCGTGCTCGTGGGTTTCACCGAAGTGGTAAACGTCTGAAACCTGCATCACTTCGGGCTTTCCGCCCACATTAAGCTGACACGCCGCGATATGACTGGAATACTGTTAAAAGCGGCGTTAAACCCAACTCACTCACTCACTTGACTGCTGCGACAGTGGGATGGCTAACATCACGAATGAACAACTCTCAGAGGCCACAACGTATTGAGATACCCCTGAGCGTTGTCTCGCAAAGCCAGGATTGAGCTAAATATTCTAGCACTAGCATACACATGTCACAATTAAACAAACCGAATCTATTTGTAAGAGTCTTTGTCACAATACAAGCCACACATATGTCCCCCTCTGAAAATGAACAACTGCTAAAAGTTCCAGAATGCGCTTGAAGACAACTGGTCAAAGATCGTTTTAATACTGTCGTTATGGAACAAATTGCCATCAATCTTAATCCAATCTCATTAAAATCAGATCTTAGTTCTCGCAAAGATCTGAAGACATCCCATTTGGGGTCACGTCAGAACGACCTTTCATCCGATCAATCAGAGCGTCGCTTACCAGATTATGAAAGTGACAGTCGGAATGTGATTTCTAATCATGCAACCTCGAAAACTTTAACAGGGGGGTATTCCGAACGATAGTTAGGGCTTTAACGACTGAATCCTTACAATCTAGACAATCGATTAGCCATTCCAGAATGTTTTTTTGTTCAGGTTTCAAATTTGTAATCGAGAATTTGTCAAAATATGTTTCGAAGCGTAATCGCCAATTTGAAATTAGTGGCGTAAAGCACGAGAAAGCTGCCTTCTGATTGGCCATTCCATTGGTTGGTCAAAGTTCGCGCAAGGTCGGTCTGACGTGACCTGTAATGGGATGTCCTCAGATATTTGTTAAGCGGTAGCGAGAACTAAGGTCTGATTTGAATGAAATTGCGTTCTCGCTGCCGCTAAACAAAGATCTGAGGACATCCCATTACGGGTCATGTCAGAAGGAACTTTCGCGAACTTTAACTGACCACTGAAACTTCATTCCGACTGTCACTTTCATGATCTGGTAAGCGACGCTTTGATTGGTCGGATGAAAGGTCGTTCTGACGTGGCCCATAATGGGATGTCCTCAGATCTTTGTTTAGCGGTAGCGACAACTAAGATCTGATTTTAATGTTATTGATCTTAATCTGTCTCCTTGTCCAGGAACAATTCTAATCTGGAATCCCCACGTGGTCAGTGAAGTCCTGGTTGAATCTAGATTTATTTGGGAACATATACAGGACCGGCCATCACCACCGCACTTGTACACAGCAAATCTCACAATTAACATATCGTTTTTCTTAGTTTCAACAAAATCAGTAATTGCACTCTGTTGCCGCTGGATTTTCGGGTTCGTCAATCATTTGATTGTCTCGTTTGTTTATATGCTACCATTATCAGGCAATACTTGTTTATGCAAATTGTATGAATGGTGGTGCTACCGGAAGGCGGGACATTCTTACTCTTTATGCGAACATCTATTGTCATCACTGAATTTCAGTGGTCCATTCATATAACTTTCACAGCTCGTTTGCCCTTTGCAACAAATGAAATCTGCTTCAGTGGATAATCAAGGCTGGTTACTCTCTTGCATTGACGTTTAATGTTTAGGTTGTCTGCGTCATTGATGTCTGGATGCAATGTGTAAATGAGTTGAACATGGGATAGCAGGTACGAGCAGATGAGCTGCACGAGTTCGACTGCGAAGTCTACCTGGAAACCTACCTATAGCCCCGTGTAGGTGATGTGATTGGCTGTTTGTCCTCTATTCCAGAGTCGGGGTCCTACTGGGACGATCCTAGACGGCTGTTGTGGGTCCAGGGTGACCTGATCCCGGTTGATCGTCAAAGTTTTGTTTGGCAGAATCTGTTCCGCTATCTGCTAACCACGGACTTTGATACACTTTGTGTATTGGTTAGAATACGCTGACTTGTACCAATAATGAAGTATTCTCATAACCCTAAGACAGTCCTAAGGCGTTTGAATCGTTTTCACATTAATTGGACAGCGAAATGATGGTAGGGTTGTACAGCATGTTGTTTCGAACCACGAAGGTGGTTTGTATTCACAATCACTAAATTATTCACTTTTGATAAAAGTGTTAAAATTACGAAATTCACCCCAAGACGTGCCAAGGACTGTCCAATGACGCACGTGCAGTGGAGGGCTGTACTCGGTGTTTCGCAGTCACAAAAGGACCTTAGAAAATCCCCTCCTTTCCTGTAACAGTGTGTAACAAAAAAGCCTGGCCTGAGCAAATCAGTTGAAAGCATGACCAAGGACATCTTCCTGAGAAAAGGGAGTTAACTGCCTATAAAGTCCAGTTTCCACCTTTGCCGAACTAGGCTGCAATTATTGACTTATATTTTGGCTGGACTAACAAGTTTATCCAATCAAAATCGCGTACCAAAATCGATTTGCAAAACATGTGTATCGTCAATTTAGAGTCAACAGATATTTTCTAAATCTGTTCATGTTTTTAATCAAGATACTCACGTGATTTGATGCACTTCATGAAGCAGGACCTGTGCTATTACAATATAGATCTTGATTATCACTGGGCAATGCCATTTTGTTTGTTACAAATGAAAGTGATATCAGCGGTGGAATCTGATTGGTCAATGGGAGGGACATAGAAGGGACATTATTCATAAAAGCAACTTGTGGCGCTATGATCGAACCCAGAATTCCGGCCTATTCTGCAAGGGTGGAAACTGGACTTTTACAGTCAGTTAACTCCCTTGCATCAGGAAGATGGAGCAAGGATACATGTTGAGAGGTTATGACTAAATATTATCACCCAGGTCAGACATGTGACCAACCATTCCCCTAGTTGACTCTTACAACAAGCATATCACACAGGCACCCGTCTACAGGTTAAACATGTGGCATCGGAAGAAATGAAATAATGACCAACCATTCCCCTAGTTGACGCTTACGACAAGCATATCACACAAGCACCTGTTTACAGGTAAACATGTGGCATGGGATGAAATGAAATAATGACCAACCATTCCCCTGGTTCACCCTTACAACAAGCATATCACACAGGCACCTGTTTACAGGTTATACATGTGGCATGGGATGAAAGAATGACCAACCATTCCCCACAGTTCACCCTTACGACAAGCATATCACACAGGCACTTGTTTACAGGTTATACATGTGGCATGGGATGAAATGAAAGACAATTGAGCATATGTTAGGACATTGTTTATTGTCTACAGACGCGTGCAGTAGATACAGTACAACCTCACAAATATATTCCTACACACAATGCTGCAGTCATAGAACTTTCCAATAACTCTCCCTACCTTATCTACACAGCAATGAACTGAACAAATTCTGTAAAACCTTCTAATACTAAAATGTATCGAAAGGAATGATCAAAACACAGTTTGATATGTAAGTTAAAATATATAGTCACTAAAATATGTGTTACTCATGTTTCATGGAAGCAAAAATCTTGACAACATATTTGCTAAGCCCTAAAAGAACAAAACTGACCCTTTCGTGAAGTGTAGGCTTAAAGTTAACAGAAAGGTGCTTTGATAGTAAACGTGCATACATAAATTGCATTGATTTTGGCATTTGGTGTCCAATTTTTTGTGTGTGTGTGTGTGCGTGTGTGTGAGCGTGTGCGTGAGTGTCTGTGTGTCTGTGTGTCTGTGTGAATCTTTCACTAAAAGTCTGAAAGAAAAAAAAGGAATATAAAGATAAGATTCTTGAAAGAACAATCTTGTATTATAAGGGTTGTGGAGAGAAATAAAGTACAAACGTGTAACATACTGTAACAAAACATAAGGCCAGATCAGTTTTTCTTCATGTCTTCAGAAGTACCCTAAATTTCATAAATATTAAAAAGAATATAAAAAAAAAATTATCAAGAAAAATATCCCTTAAATTACCTGACATAAGAAATGTCTTTTTAATGTCCACATTCCTGTCATATCAGAAACTAAACTGGTCTTGCCTTACTTATATCAAGAACATTACTTATCTCATCAATGTCCACCTCAATGTGTTCACACATAGCAGACATACAAATAGTTGGAATGCATTCATCACTCATCAGCACTGGGTTACAAAAGTCCTTCACAATACACAAGGCCTTCGGCACAAATAAACAATATTCTAGATCCTCCTACTCGGAGGAGTAATCATCAGGTAATATATTAGGCTTATATCTGTTATAGTAAGAAGGTTATGGGTTAAAAATCAGTCTGGTTGGGTTCCAATCATTGAGGTATTCTCGATAGTATTATGGGGACAAGACCTTGCACCTGGAGGGCAGACTACCTCAAATATCATAGTTAATATTTATTTAGATAATTTATTATTCTGATGCTTCATAACTTCCACAACAAAACAAAAAGATGGTCACAAAAATATGAGCAAGGTCTTGCAGTCAAAATGACATCTACACCTGGAAATTAGTTAAGCACAGCATGCTCAGTATTTCCTTACGAAATAGCCATTTCTTAAATTTGTATCTTGTCAGCTTAATTTGGGAGGAGAGTCCAAAGTAATGCAGGTCTATGACATTTACCACTTCGGTGAAACCCATGAGCATGATACAGAGTTGACAAACCTAGAAACATATTCTGGGATTGAACACGATCCTTGGTTTCTGGCGCCTAAGGGAAGCAACTCTGCACAACGAATTCCAGCACATTAGCCAACTGGGCCACCTGTGCCCCCAAATTCTCAAAGGATACATTTATAATTCCCAAAGTATACATTTATGTTCATTACATATGAAAACATGAGGGGTGGCGCTTATATTAGTTTTCAGGTGTATATTATTCTGTAGGACTGTGACCTTAATAAGCGTAGAAGAAACAATGAATACAAAAGAACGTGTAGGCTCAAAAACAGTGGTCAAGACACTGCAAGATGAGATGTTCACATATCCATTGACATATACTAATCTGCTCCAGGACACTTCAGGAAATCTGTTGTTTCGACTAGATGACATGAATTTAAAATCAAGATAAATGAAACTAATTGGTTCATTGCATGATATTACAGCATAATTATGATAATGTTTTCACTCAACATAATAGACATAATCTGTACACAGTTAAATCTTCCATTCACGATGCAAATAAAATGGAAAATGTGATAATCGCAAACGTGAGAAACAAAATATTTACAAAAGGGCATAAAATTCATACAGGTGTAAAACAACTGCTGTATAAGACATCTAATGAGACATCAGACAATGCCAATCAATTTGATTATGTTAAAACTCTTTCAAAAAACCACTGTATGGTCGGTCATCCAAAAGTCATCTTACATGCATGTACAGCATAAACTTGACAACATCACAAGCAAACATTTAGCAGCAAGTCCTGATTAAGTGTTATTTTGACATAATTGCTCCATCAGCTAAACCATGGAATATCTCACAGCCATTGCAGAATTATATCAATCAACAATATTAAAACATTGTTAAAATATTGACACTAAAATATTCTATTATGGTTACGCAAGGAACCGACATCAAGGAACTGACATCAATAATGTCATCAATAATGTCATGAAAATGTCAACAATTGCAGGTAAAATATTTCATATAATGTGGCAAATCTGACCCTAATTGTGGCATCAATATATTAAATGTGACAATTTGTTTTGTATCTGTTTTATCAACAGGTTCCAAATCCATGTATTCAGCTTATTTGATGTAACTTTCACAAACTTTGATAACATCTTTCTCAAGAAATTCCCATTTTTCCATCTTTCTACAAAGGGAGAATTCTGTTCCTTGACAGTCTCGTTCAGATAAAAATTCCAACAACTAAAACTTCACCAAGCAAACATAAACAAATACAGATCAAAGTTAAAATGAACTCCAATATTCAATGTTCATCTTGGTTAATGACAAGCAACAAGTTCCTATGCAAGACACTGTACACAAATAATGTTTGTTTCCCGGAAGGACCGACACATGTTATTGCCAAGGTGACACAACATACAATGAAAGTTTATCATGTTTCTCTCAGCTCATTATTCAAACTGATCAAACCAAATCACGACGGAATTCGTCAGCACATACCACAGGAGTCGAAACAAAGGTCATGTGATGGGTCATTGTAGCTGCTCGGGTATATCACACAATCCCTTCCCCCTCCTTACATATCACAACTCAAGGTTACCCCTGTCAGCACAGATGAGTGCACGGCCTTTCTCAAACCGAGAAATCAAAATAGTGTACAGGACAAAGATGGCGGTCAGTGATAGCCAGCTGCTACAGCCTTCTAGCTAAGTTGCTCTATCTGAGCTAACGTACTGGGAGGAGCAATGGTGGGGTCTAGGATGGACACACACTAACAGACAGCAGCTGTCTTATTCCCCAGGCTGTTCGAGGAGCTGAGCTGACTGATTCTTCCTGCAGTGCTTCGGGACTGCGGCAAGGAGGGAACTGGAAGAAAACAGTGAGTGAGTTTGAACAGAAAGGAAACACATTTGCATTAGTTACATATACTTGCTTCAAGGATGAAGTCTTTATCAGTGAGGAGGAAGTGAGTGAGTTTTGTAATGCCACTGTTAGAAATATTCCACCCAATTTGCAGCAGAGAACATCCAAATTGGGTCTTATAGACTGAACAAAAAAAGTTGGGGGATATTTTTTGTAGTGAAGACAGGACACATTTTTTAAAACATATTTCACAAAATACTAATGATATGTAGCCTTTTGACAACTGGGCCTACCGTGCAACACATTGCCCCATGTACCCTCTAAGGTTAGTCTCAAGTACTAGGATCAATGCAGCCATCATTCTTATTAGTTCACAGAGAGCAAGAGAAAGGCATTAATAGGTGACAAATAACAAGACAGGGAAAGGCATGACAGTACACACTTAGCATTAACAGCTATTAGTCTGATGTTATTGCTGCAGGGCATGTTATACCGGGTAGTTACACATTTCAAATCACGAGCCTCTTGTTCCTAACATGACAACACAACTCTTTCAGGTGGAGAAGAAAAGTGCAAATAAAAAAAATATAAATATATTTGTGTGCATGACTATATGGATATTTGTTAATTGGAAAATATGCAGTTCAAATTATTAATTTAATTTAGAATTAATTTAATTTGTTATGTAAAGAAATTCTGCCTGGAAAAAATCATGCAAAAAAGATTGACTTCCTTATGTATAAGAATTCAGTGCTTCCATGGATGATGATGCAGAGATGCATATTTTTCTTTTTAAGAAAAGGGGAAGAAGAATTCAGTTAGTTTTGTTATTTTCTGATATTCCACTGTAAACATAAGCTTTTAAGCTGTCCAAGCTTTTAAATTAAGTTATCTTCATAGCGAAACAGTGCTCATAACATTACTCACAATGGCTGGTAAGTAATATCTGACAAAGTTTTGTTTTTATTATGTGAACATGATGGATGCAATAGAAATGATAGAAAGTGACCCCTCAACATGCTAAAATCATATACATTTTTATTAAAACATACCCCATATTAAATGATTACATGCATGCTGAATAAAGATAGGAGCAGTGAAAATTGTTAACTTCATGATTTGAAAGCGATGTTGAGGTGTTTTCTAATAACTTCAAAGAAAGCCTTACATTCTTTATCCTCATGCACAGGCTACAAATATCTACCCTGGACTTGAAAACTTATCCAAACACGTGAAGACAAAAGTATGAACAAGTTAAAGTCATTCACAAAATAATTTATAATAATATTTCAAATAGTAATTTCATCCTTGAAATACACAAAAGTTCAAAGTCTGGTTTAGATACCAAAGGCACCAATCACATGTGTTAAATATCATGAGCACCAATGATGAGTTTTATATCACAATATGAGCACAAGGGCTGGGACGATACACCAACTGTGCGATCCGATATGTATCATGATACCTTACTCACGATCCGATATGCATCACGATACTTGCATGTGCTCTTATCTGTGGTGCGTAAGCCATCTTTTTCATACACAAATGGCCAAATACTTGATTTACAGTTGGCAGTGTCAAGTATTGCACAACAAATGAAAATATGTATGTTTTCACTATTAACTTGCAGTACTGATTAGTGTTTAGTGGAACAGTTATTAAATGAAACATTTAAGGTCAGAATCGATATTTTTAACTTAGTGTGTGACTGTGATCGATACTTGTATGGAGAAGTAAAAAATCGCAATCCACCGATGCATTGGTGTATCGTCCCACCTCTAATGAGCACAAATGATTTATTTTCAAGTCCATACTTAGTCCTAGCCAGTGAACTTGGAGGCAAGTTCACAAGACCTGAAACTGAGAGTATTTACACTTGGTGTGGGCTGTAGAGGTGTTTAAGACTGCATCCTGTTCTAGATAATAAACTGAATATGACCAGGTGAGACTATCATACTTAGACAGTCACATCTATGCTGTAAGCCATCCACGTAAGAGTTACCTCCCTTACAATAATTTTTTCTGCCACACAAAACCTGAGCCCTGTCTTAATCACCGGTTTGAAAAGTGAGATGTGGCTAAAAGAATCTACAAATTGAATAAGCAGGAAGTAAAAGTCATCCATATCTCCCACCATCCTTTAACGCCTACACTTATAAATAAATAAATAAATAAATAAATAAATAAATAAATAAAAAACAGAAGATTGACTTATCGCCTTAGTCATGTTGCAAACACAAAAGAAAAGAGAAAAAGAAGGCCTCCAGGTTTATGTCAGTGGTCTGTAAATAATCGCATTTTGACCAGACAATCCAGTGATAGATATGAGCATCAATCTATGTAATTGGGATGCAATCATATGCATAAACCAAGTCAGATATTAGAGGTTAAGAGTACAGTCCAAAAGCAAAGGAAATCAGAACTCTTTGTCAATACTTCATGCCCTTGTATACAATACCTTCCTGCATGATCTATGCATACATTCACTTTGAGATATTGTTATGTTTAATCAACAAGAGGTTCATGCACAGGGTTTATTTGCCTCCTGTGGGACATATAACTCCTCCTCTCATTAGTACACTAAAAATAAACACACATCACCACACGGATAATTGGGTCATGTGTTCACAGGTGATGGAGGAAAGTGTGTATACAAGACTGTGAATTGTTGACAATGCCGAACACGCCTGTCACACTACGAGATCCTTAGTACATGTGTTCCATCTTACCATAGCCCATGCCCTGTAGGAAGAGTTTGAAGGCCTCGGTGACCTTGCCTGGCTGTTCCTCAAGCGGCATCCCTCCACAGTCAGCGATCTGGAGGGAGAGGGAAGAGTGAGACAATGAAAACTCGAGTGAGTGAGTGAGTGAGTACGGTTTTAAGCCACTTTTCGCAGTATTCCAGCAACATCATGGCAGGAGACACCAGAAATGGGCTTCACACATTGTACCCATGGTGGGTATCAAGCCCCATAGTGCTACCATGCCAGCGGGTCAACCCGCATCTTGTTGGACACATCAGCATGCCTGACGTCCTGTAAACTGACGTCAGCTAACAAAACAGATGGTACAATCTACTGAAAATCATGGCAAGAGACAAGTTCATGATATTTCAAGAATATTCTCAATATTAACACTATTTAAAAAAGAACATTTGGTCAACTCGGTTCAAAGTAAACACTGAAAGTGCAACCTATTCCCTGAAGTATTTCTAATTTTATTTCAAGAATATTCTCAGTATCAACACTATTTATCTCTCTGTTAGAAATGCAGAGGGACTATCAGGGCACAAAGAGAATTCATTGATGTTTCCTCGATAAATGCAGAAGAGTGAGTGAGTTGGGTTTAACGCCGCTTTTAACAGTATTCCAGTCATATCGCGGTGTGTCAGCTTAATGTGGGAGGAAAGCCCGAAGTGATGCATGTTTTAGACGTTTACCACTTCGGTGAAACCCACGAGCACGGGTATGGTGCTGACAAACCTAGAAACATAATTGGGGCGAACCGGGATTCGAGCCCACAATCATAGGTTTCTGGCGTGCCCAAGGGATGCAACTCTGCACAGCGAATCGCGGCGCCTAAGACGACTGGGCCACCCGTGCCCCCGATAAATACAAAAGAAATTTGTAATCCCTAATGTTTCTGAAGAGGTGAGTTGAGGTGAAATGGGGTTTAACGTTGCATTCATGATTATTTCACTATTTGGAAGTATGTGGCTGCTTGTACTAACCCAGACCAATATTACTAGTCCACTGAGAGACCATGCTGCAGTGTAACACGGATAACCCACTCAGATAGAGGATAATGACGCTGAACCAACCAGTCCTTGTTTTGTACCCTCAATTCCGAGCACCAGGCAGGGTAACAACAAGTACCATCTTTTTAACATCTTTCGGTAAAACAATACTTAGGACCGAACAACTCTATCCGCTAGACCAAGGAGGCAGTTTCCTGAAGAGTAAACGATAAACACTTTGGAATGATGAACATGAAATACTAGCTAACTACCTTCATGAAGTCTGTTTCCTGTGGGTCCATGCGTCCGTTCATGTTGACCACATCTTCCATGTGGGGGGAATCGTCTCCAACTAGCATCAGTGTCCGGCATCTGAGACATCACAGAGAATAACGACTCTCTTTAATGATAATATTACAACATGGCACAATGAACTGGGGATACGACAATTACAGGAGGATTTCTAGAAACTGCCATGGGAGTACCTACTATTCATATTCCATAGTGGTACAATGACACTAAGTCCGACAATGTAACCATCCTCTCTCCCTCGGAGTTGATTTTTACCAGCAGGGGTACTGAGGATCTTTGAACCAGAAATTCAGTCTGGAATTGACTTACTGCAACTTGCAAGATAAGTTTCACAATCTTTTGTTAATCAAAGTCACACACAGCAATATATCAGCTCCATGGCAGCAGTCTGTAAAAAAACATGTCTGGACCAAACAATCCAGTGACTGATTTCATGAGTACCTATCCTTGAACATTGGGGTAAGATGAGCCTGACCACCAGATCCAGTTAGTTGTCCACTTACAACCAGCATAGGTTTAAGGGGCCAGATTCCAATCCAGAATCCCCAGGTCACACATTGTAGTCACCAGACCTTTATTAGCATCATTAGTCAGCTTTAACAACAAACATGGGATACTGGGGACCTTTTCTGGGGTGTTCCTAGGGTATATCTGTGGTATCTTTCTTCCATGTATTCCTCCTTGTGAGTGAGTGAGTGGGTGAGTGAGTTGGGTTGGGTTGGGTTGGGTTTAACACTGCTTTTAACAGTATTCCACTAACACCACTGCGTTCTGGTGTGCCCAAGGGACGCAACACTGCACAGCGAATTGGACCACCCGTGCACCTTTCATCCTTGTATGGGTCTGTAGACAGTGAACACCCCCACCTCCCCCTCCATGGTGGCATTCCATGCAGTACAAGCCTCTCTACACACAACACATATCTGTCACCTACCTCACAGTTCTTGTCTGCATTTTCTTCAAGGGGTCAAGTTCCCGGAAAATGTTCAAGTCTGAACGTCTGACAACAAATAACAGGTGTTCACATAAGTCACATGGCCACATAAATCTTTGGTGCAGGTGAGCTAACAAGTGAAAAAAAAACACAGAAAAAAAACAAACCAAGCAGAACCTTTTATGCAAGCCTATAAATTGTAAGGACCTCTCTTTCCAAATAAATCCTTCCTTTTGAGGTCGAATAATTTCAATTACAGCAGCAAATCACAAGGATATGTTAACTTCCTTAAATCGTGTGTTTGTAGTTCACTTCCTGTTGGAAACAGGTCATGGTAGAGAGACAATATATACAAAGTCAGTGTACATGGTGCAGGTTGTGCTGCTACAGAACAGGTCTTCTTGGTGATCTTATTTCTTTCTTAATCATTCTATCTGTTTTAATACTAATATTTGTTGTTTGTTTGTTGTGGAGCTCCACACTCAGCAATATTCCAGGTTTATGTCAGTGATCTGTAAATAATTGCATTTTGACCAGACAATCCAGTGATAGACATGAGTATCAATCTATGTAATTGGGATGCAATCATATGCATAAACCAAGTCAGTGAGTCTGACCACCTGATCCCTTTTGTCGCCCCCTTACGACAAGCACGGGTTGCTTAAGACCTATTCCAACTCGGATCTTCATGGGCAGAGCGTATATTATCAAAACAAGCCCAGATAACTCACTTTAGGTAGGACTTATACCATCAAGACAAAGACAGAGAATTCCCTTCAGGTAGAACTCATTATCAAGACAAAGCCAGACAACTCACTTCAGGTAGGACTCAATGAAGAGAGCGAGGTTCTGTGGATTGATTGACTTGACAAAATCCCTGTACACAGTTATCAGATCATGGTTATCCCAGCGAGTTTTCTGTAAAAGACCAAATGACAAAGATGAGATGCTAGACATCAAAGATGCTTATTAGATGAAAAAAAACTATACTGCTAGCATGATGCTAGACATCAAATCTGCTGCGTAGATGACAAAAATACTGGTAACTTGATACCAAATATGCTGCGTAGATGATAAACTAAGCTGCCAACTTGATGCTAGACATCAAATCTGCTGCGTAGATGACAACAAACTATACTGCTAACTTGATGCTAGACATCAAAGATGCTGCATAGATGATAAACTATACTGATAACTTGGTGCTAGACATCAAATATGCTGCGTAGATGATAATAATCTATACTGCTATCTTGATGCTAAACATCAAATATGCTGTCTGGTGATAATAAACTATACTGCTAACTGATGCTAATAAACATGATGCTAGACATCAAATACACTGTGCAGATGATAAACTATACTGCTTACTAGATGCTTGACATCAAAGATGCAACGAAGATGATAATAAACTATACTAGTAACTAGATGCTAGACATCAAAGATATTTGTACACTGGAACACTGCAATCACTAGGCAGAGAAACCAGTTTTCCAAGTAAGTCAGCGGGTAGTTTTTGGATTAATCAACTTAATCAACATTTAGATGGTTGACAATAAGATTGAATAATTTTTCCGGATTTCTTCACATCAGTCTTTTACTGATAATCTTCTTGTCCATCTTTTTGAATTACAACATACAAGACGCATGATAAAGAATAGTTGATCTTTGGTAATCTGTCACATGGGATGTTGAATCCCAGAACAATGAACTGATTGCTTATAGCTTAAGTATGCTGACACTGGATTCTCAGTAACACTTCATGTAACCATGGTAACCTACATGTCCAAACCAGTGCCACAGAAGATATTCCTCGGTGAAGTTGGTCAGCTGACCAGAGAACAGGTACCAAGAGTTCATCTGAAATATATTCATTGGGCATGTTTATGAAAGGTTATAACAATAACAGTATGAATATATTTATCTTGTAAATATCGATCAAACGTATATAAAATACAATTGTGATAAAGAGACAACCCCATGCCTAGTGTCATATTTACCATGATGTTATGCAATTCAAGTATCTAATGCAATGTCATGCAAGATCAGGTGACAGGGACATCAAAATTAAATACCAATATAATACCTCACTTCTCTCTGAACAGAATTATTGTTTTCAATATGTATCTAGATATTCAGAATAGTCATGGTAGTATCAATATATATTTTTAGGATATATCATCGTTCATCCCTATTTACCATGATTACATGATTTTACAGTTTCTTCCATTATCATGAAAAACATGACTTTGATGTTTGTTTATTTGTTTGTTTGTTGTTTAACACAACACTCAGCAATATTCCAGCTATATGATGGCGGTGTGTAAATAATCGAGTCTGGACCAGACAATCCAGTGATTGACATCATGAGCATCGATCCACACAATTGGGATACGATGACATGCATCAACCAAGTCAGCGAGCCTGACCTTCCAATCTCATTAGTTACCTCTTACGACAAGCATAGTCGCCTTTTAAGTTAAGGCAAGCATGGGTTGCTTAAGACCTATTCTACCCCGGATCTTCATTGGTCAACCTGACTTTGAAGTCTGAGTAAGTGTGGCTTAAGCTGCTAACAGCAATATTTTCAGCAACCACACAGCATGGGGCTTTAGATATTTTACCAATGTGGGGAATTCAACCCAGAGTGTCAACACAAGCACACACTTTAAACATTGTGCTATCCGATTATTTTGAAGAAGAAAGGAATAAAAAATAGTGCGAGAAAATAGGTAACAAGGGGAAAAAGTTTTGCATTTCTTCTTTGTTGTTTCTTTCAAAAATGTTATTCAGGTACCTCGTACATAATATACAATAGTAGATCTCACCTTCTGGTATCCCCACTCCATCCAGCCGGCCTGACTGGCCGTAGCATTGACCAGGGCGAGGGAGTCCACACTGTCTGGATGGAGCAGCTGAAACCAACAACATGCTTCATGCATACGGAGGCAAAGTACAGGGAAACCTCTAGGGCTGGGACGGGTACAGGACTACCCAGACCTGTGGTCAGTCACGTGACATATTGTTTAATGACAAAAATTATCTAGAACTCTATGGTTACACTACAAGTCACTAATGTTCGCATTTCTTTCTGACTATGCACCCATTCCTTCTGATTTTTCATATGGTTGAATAAAGATATAACTTAATTCAACTTCAGTGTATGAATGACCAGATTGTTTAATACATGTTTATAAATATGTTTTGCCAGGCTATGCTAAAAAATGTTCCCATTCAGACATTTTGAGACATCTCGTAAGGCCTACAGTGGGTACCCGGGTAGGGTCAGTTAATAAGGGGGTGGGTACCTGGGTAGTAAATTTGGACTTGTCCCAGCCCTAGAAACCTCGCTAATCCACAAACCCCATAATCTGGACAATTACTGTTGGGAACACATATTTTTGCAAATGAAAAGTTAAAGAACACTCAATATTTTCATTTGGCTATCGTTAACCTGTATACAAAAAGTAGTAAACAATAACGGACATTACAAGATGACCATGATTGTTTGATCAGGAAAAGTGTTAATATGGACAAATAGTATCATCGTGATTAATAGGGTTTCAGCGTGTAGTTCAGGACAGTATCTTTATATTCAAGGAATGACTTAATTACTTAATTACTTATCAACCATGTTAACTATACAGCCGAGACATGCTAAACGTAGGATGACTTTGAACATATTGAGATGCAGACAGCTGAATCTTTGGGATCAGTTTGTTGTTCATCACATCTTCCACCAGCTGGTGTCTACTTACTGAATATCGACTGAGGATGTTGGCGCCAGTGCCGATTCCAAAGCCAATGAATCTCTTCAACCTGTAACAAGAGTGAGTGAGTGAGTGAGTGAGTGAGTGAGTGAGTGAGTGAGTGAGTGAGTGAGTGAGTGAGAGAGTATTTGTGTATAATATTACGTGTAGGCATAACATGGAAGGAAGCCTATGGTGAGGTTTCTTGTTTGTTGTTGAACGCCGCACTCAGCAATATTGCAGCTACATGACGGCGGTATGTAAATAATTGAGTCTGGACATCATGAGCATCGATCCTCCCAATTGGGATACATTGACATGCATCAACCAAGTCAAGCGAGCCTGACCACCCGATCCCGTTAGTCGCCTCTTACAACAAGCATGGGTTGCTGAAGACCTGTTCTACCCCAGATCTGCATGGGTCAAGACATACACTTGGTGAACTAAATTACTTACTACTCGTTTAATGACCCCTGGCGTTTTTATCAGTCAGATATATGAAATTAGTAAAATCTAAATATTTTTTACATTTGTATACTTATCCTGCATTACTCCGTATTGCATTTACTGCTGTCTTTGACAGAGAGACGAACTGTGAGATCCAGCTGCTGAAGAAAGTTGTCCCAACCAGCCCAGGAGGCAGTGCCCTCTCACAGTCGGCACGTGACCCGGAAGTCATGACGTCACACCAAAAGACATAACTGCTTTAAACATAACATCTGAAACTTCGTGGGGAGGAAGCGGAGCGCAGGGGGGGCACTTAGACTTCGTAATGCAGGATAAGTATACAAATGTAAAAAATATTTAGATTTTACTAAATTTTTTAACTTATCCTTCATTACTCCGTATTTCATCTTTATCAGACGGCATGGCCGGTGGGCATACCTGCAGATGTGAACCATATTAAACCCTCGTCAAGGTCCGATGAATCCGCACCGCATACAAGTGATGACCGGAACATCTACGACCATTCCTGTCTTCAGGAAACAAGAGTCGATGCAAAAACAAAACGCCCGAATAGGTAACCGAAATACAATGAGGCGTGTTGCCACAATATATAACTTACCGAAGAGCGAAAGCGAAACGCAGTAGAGCCCTCTAATCTGAGGCGATAAACACCAGAGAGTTCGACGGGCCCCGCTCGGGGAATCGAAGAATCAGCGGCGTCGGCGGCAAAATCTACGACCAATCCCAAGAGCGAATGCGAAACGCAGGAGAGCCCTCTAGGCTGGAGGCAAGGAACACCGGTGAGGTCGACGGGCACCGCTCAGGTATCAGAGAAGCAGCGGCGTTGGCGTCGGCGCCGGTGTCCACATCAACTACCATTCCTGTCGTCAGGAAACGAGAGTTGATGCAAAAAGTAAAACCCGGATAGGTGACAGCAATAGAATGAGTCGGGTAACCCAAAACTAAAACTGACCTAAGAGCGAATGCGGAACGCAAGAGAGCCGTCTCGTCTGGGGTGATAAACACCAGAGAGGTCGCCGGGCCCCGCTCAGGGTATCGGAGAATCAGTGGCGTCGGAGATAGATTACCTGTTGGGCTACAACCAGGGACCAAAACTGTGAACGCCGGCGACAACTTTCAAGGCTACATCACGGAAGTAGTGGTTGGTGAAGGCGGTGTCCGATCGCCACGAACAGGCTTCCCTGAACGACTGGATGGAACAGTATACCGTGAAGAACCAGTGTAAATACGATTGCCCTGATCTCATTTTATTTCAGGTGATAGCCTTTGGGGGGAGGGTCCAATCCGGCGGCTCATAAGCTTTAAGGATGACCGCCTGGAGCCACAGGGAAAAGTATTCCGGCTGACCAACGACTGCGACGAAGGGGAGACCGGCAGAAAAAGGTGTTTCCTAGACTTGCGGCAGTCTTTAGATCGTAGAATAACCTTCAGTGCCCTTACTGGGCATAATGACGCTCATCCTCATCCTCGGCACCCACACTGGACGAGGGGGGAGGGGACAAGGAATGATCTATCAGGCTGTCCTGGGAGTTGAGTCTTTACGCTGACGTCCCAGTACGGTCCATGATGAACGGCGCCCTGGGTACCGCATTCGAAGTGGGCACGGGAGACGTCGAGGGCGTGCTGTACATGGACTCGAGCGGCAGTAGTCAAAACCAGTAGAAACACCCGTCTTCTTCTTAAGGTCGTAGAAGGAAGACGAGGGGAGTGGTTCGAAGGGCGTTGAAGACCACATTCAGATCCAACGCAGGCGGTCCGAACTTGGCCTTCAGGTCTTCAAGACTGAACGAGCGCAGCCAGGCCCGTAGGTCGGGAATTTTTGTCTTTCTCCGATCGTCCGGTATGGCCAGAACGGAGTAGATGGCGACCAGGTATGTGGGGGTGGTAAGCCCTTCAACCGACGGGTGCTACGCAAGTACAGAAGGAACTGATCCAGGATCTGCGGTGACGCTGTCATCGGATCCTGGTGTTTGTCAGAACAAAATGCCTGGAACAAGCATCATTTATCAGCATACAGTCCCCCTGTAGATGGACGGTGGGATGAAGCAATAGCCTTGGTCGCTCTAGCCGAATAGCCCTTGGCTTTCTGCATGTGTGTCAGGCGTGCAGACGATAACATGCGGGTATGAGGGTGTGGCAACAGACCGTGTGGATGGAGCAGAAGGTTGGACCACACCGGAAGTTCCAGGGGTTGTCTCTGGCTATGTTTCGGAGATCGATAACTCAACTTCTGGCTGACCAATAAGGCGAGACCAAAGTCAATGGCAGGGGTCGAGTGGCCTGGATCTCTGAAGAACCGTGGGAGGGAGAACCGGAGTCGGAAAAGCGTACGCGCGTAATCCTTCTCAGGAACGATGGAAGGCTTCGACTGCCACAGCGGTCGTATCCGGCACAGGTGGAATGGAAGACGACAGCTGGCCACATTCAGATATGAGGCAAACAGATCTAGGGTTGGGGTGTCGACCGTTTGACATAGTCTGGCCCGAGGCGCCGGAGAGCGTGAGGCGTCGGAGCTTGAGGCGCCTGGAACGCCGAAGATGGTGATTCTCGGGGGCGCCGGTCGAGTTTGTAGCGCCGGGAGAGGGGCGAGTACTCTGGGTCCGCAAATACCACACTACGGTGACGTCGTCAGTGGACACGATCAACAGGGCGTGATCGAGAATGCACTGTCAGCAAGTGACGTCCTGGATAAGCCTTTATCTCGAGGCTGTTGCTGTGCCAATGGTGTTGATCTCTGGATCACAGGTGGTCACAATGTGGGCTGGTGTGGGCCACTAGCCACTGACAAGGTGGCAGGGGAGGTAGTCAGCAACAGGGGTCTGCGATTGCGTACCGTCGGTACGATTCGGAAAAAGGTGTGATTGCCTGCGAGCCAACCTCAAGTAGACGAAGTAAACCAGCTTCACAATCGACCGCCGGGGCATCGACGTAACCGGGTAGTAGGAAGTCGAGGCAATATGGCCATTGCACGAAGTAATGAGATCGTTTTCATCCCTGAAGCGGCGTATAAGTACTCCTGTTCTTATATCGAGGTGACGATGGAGGACGACAACACGATACGAGGCAGGAATGCAACAGGGGTCAGTGGGACGGCCGAGGGACTTTAAGTATCAAATCGACACTGTGTCCGGTAGTCAAGGCGGAAGATAGGAAGGTGTCGTAGTCGAAAAGATCAAACCGGACGAAGGAAGGCGATCTTTTCCATCCCTTGAATGTCTATAGGCGCTATCGTTCTTATAGCGAAGGGTTGATGAAACAAGGTTCCTCGTGACAGCCGTGTTGGTAGAGGAGGTCTATTGTTTCCAACATGGATGCATGGATGGACTGCGACAGGCGCCTGGTTGAGTGGTATCACCAAGCATACAGGTAGACATGGAAACCAATCTGTAGAAATACATGGCACCCCTTGCCATGGTAAGTTGACCTAAATCCGGTCGGAGTTTGTTGACAGTCCGAGTACTTGACACGTGACATGTAAATCACTCTGCGCAGTAGCCGAGAAAACCGCCTTGGAGTCGGAACTGAGGTGCAAACTCCACACACAGACAATCCTCAATGAACTGTGTGAGAGACGATCAAGTGGTGTACCCGAGTTTTGCGATAAAACACGGAACCCCATGGGCGTCGTGGAAAACCCGGGGAGCGCCGAGGAAGAGTCTCTTTCAGGAACGCTGGCGCTAGGGTAGGGTAGAACAGCGTTGATGTCTGCGATGTTGACGAAGTAAACTCTTTGTAAGTGGATGTCGTCGTTGAATCTGATACAGACGCTGTTCACATGACGCTCTGTTTCGATGGAAAACCGCAGGTCATCTCTCCGGAATCATAGCGCTTTAAACGACGGGATTATGGATAACGTCTCAGTGGGCAAGTTGAATCAGACCAACTGTCTATTGGTTGAAATGATTCCACCCAGCAAGTAGAACGATAGTCACGATCCCGAAGACCGACGGGAGAGTAGCGACAGGAGCGGCGACAGTATTTTCACCATGCTTCTCTGTGTGACGAGTTATGAGACGGCAGCAAGAGAAGAGGGCAGTGGCGCCGGGGAGGCGATTGCCGATGGTGCCCCTTAAGCCGCAGTAGAAGATCAGATGGTCGGCTCGTTGATCTGAGCTTGATAATCGGAGGCGCCGAGTCATCAGAGGCGCGGAGACATCGGAGGCGCCGAGTCATCAGAGGCGCGGAGACATCGGAGGCGCCGAGACATCGGAGGCGCCGAGTCATCGGAGGCGCGGAGACATCGGAGGCGCCGAGTCATCAGAGGCACCGAGTAATCAGAGGCGCCGGGAGCGCCGAGTCATCAGAGGCGCCGGGAGCGCCGAGACATTGGAGGCGCCGGGAGCGCCGGGAAAGAAAACAAAATGGCGGGAACAACATTGCGCCCGTAAATTACTGTGACGTGAGCCACAGACGAGCGATAAACGTTACAATTTACGAATGGGAAGACCCTAAGGTCACGGCCCATAACAGGTAACAATGTAGCAGCATCTAATGAATGTAGAAACACGCAAAATATAAAAAACAAATAATAAGCTTTAATTTCCACAAGGGATACAAAGTACGTCCGTCCGTGGAGGTGACAAAGCAGTTATGTCTTTTGGTGTGACGTCATGACTTCCGGGTCACGTGCCGACTGTGAGAGGGCGCTGCCTCCTGGGCTGGTTGGGACTACTTTCTTCAGCAGCTGGATCTCACACAGTTCGTCTCTCTGTCAAAGACAGCAGTAAATGCAATACGGAGTAATGCAGGATAAGTTAAAAAATATGGGTTATAATTAGTGTTTCAAGTTCACTACTAAATATAGCCATTATGAACATGTGTCTACAGCTAGCTTTTCCTTTTGAACCTTATCTGAAATATTTATTGTCAAGAACTTTCCATGCGATTTGATGTAAATATGTGTATCGCGATACGTATCACATCGTGACCAGACTGTATCGTTTCAACCCAGATATGAAGACATGCATCAACCAAGTCAGTGAGCCAAACCACATTAGTGAGTGAGTATGGTTTTACGCTGCTTTTAGCAATATTCCAGCAATATCATGGCGGGGGACACCAGAAATGGGTTTCACACATTGTACCCATGTCGGGAATCGAACCCGGGTCTTCGGCGTGACAAGCGAACGCTTTAACCTCTAGGCTACCCGACCGCCCCTCTGACCACATTAGGTGAGGAAGGTTGCAGATGTTCGCACATGAAGAATAGGTATGGCGCTGACAGACCATGGATTATAACAATAGATCAATCTAACCTGACGGGAGTAAGTTTGTTTAATCAGTACCCCAGGCACCCACAATTGAAATCCTGCCTCTCTTTATCAACTGCATTAATAAACAGCTGTTGAAAAGCAGCAGCATCGGCTATTGGGAGACATGAGGTGTAATGGGGTTATTGCACTTTTATAGCCAGGTGCATGCGCACACATACTTGCAAACATGTGTCTGTGTACCTGCAAAGCTAACAGAAGCCACCTTAAGTCTATGTCAACAATCAGTGCGACATCCCCATCAACTGTGGTGTCACTAACTTTTATGTCAACAATCAGTGTGACTAACTTTTATGTCAACAATGCTGCCTGTATGGCATCCACAATGGTGTCAGCGAGGGTGTCACACTGTGCTTCCTGTAGGCTTTTCTTAACTCACTTATTTAGAACCATACGGATAATAAACAATATCACAACCTGACCAGATTTTGAAAAATAAAACAGGAGGCCATGGATTTTTTTGATTTTTTTTAGCATTTGGACCGCTAAATCTCCATCCATTATGGCCTTAGACAAGGTCTATTGGATCGACTTGATGATAGATTGGATCAGTGCAAATATTCACCAATATGACGAGTCAAGTAAACCATAACACAACAGTTCCAAGTAAAGTAAGTGGTCTTACCCATAGTGCTCCACAACGGAGTGAACGCCCTCTGCCAGTTCATCCATAGTTGGGAAGACAAACCTGTAACACACCAGAGAGAATAGCATGAAACACAGGACACAGCAATCAGCAAAGACTTGAGTGACTTAGGTCATATTGTATTTCGCAATATTCCAGACTTGTACCATGTATACAGTGGGGGACTTCAAGATCAGTCTTCACACGGTGTACTCATGTGAGGATCACATGGCATGACGTGCCAGTGTTACTTTCAAAGATGAGTCCATGGGGTTTCATGTTCAAGAAGCATGATGATGTTGCCAGTGGCTTATGAATTAACTAAACAAAACGGTTGAAAGGTTTGGGTGTTTATGAACAGGTGTGTACAGGTATCTTGCTTCAATGTGTTCATGTTGATTGGACTTCTTTGATATTCTTTGGTTTCAAAGCATGCAAGACTTCCCGAAATGAAAATATGGACACTCAATCAACGTAAGCACCTGCCCACCACATCCACTCAGTCGCCGCTTACAACAAACATAGGTGGCTGGGGAGCTCCCCATGGGAGGACAAGACGAGGAGCAGGTGTGTTACTACTGAAATGTCTTGTGATAACCATGAATCTTGCCATGTAATTATAAAAAATACTTAGCCTTGAACAAATATAGTATTTCACTGGAAACTATATAACATTACTGCCTTGGCTTTCCAAGTGTACATCAATTCTTTTCATGTTAAATAAATAAAAACCTTTTTTTACAAATAATATATTCATAATTCATTACAAACAATAATCATGTAGATAACAATGCAGTCCCTCTAATTCTATATAACTCATAAACTAAACTTATCTAACTCTATATTTCACAACACAAGCACAACATTTACAACAAACAATCATGCATAAAAGTTCATATAACCTATTTCCTCATCATTTCCTTATCAATCAGTTATGAATCAAGTTAATTTTACATGTTAATCAGCTGTGTAAAGATTTCACATAAAATAATACATCAATGTCTGTATTATCTCAAGTTAGTAACTGCCATGCCATTGTCAAAGTACAGGACAGCATTATGAAATAACATTACATGACATGAATACCTGATAATTGCTCCTGGTATTGCCCAGGGTGTTATACATGTTATCACAATGGCTCAATTAAGCTGAATGTGACTGGTCAGACAGGTTACTGGAAGTGACCTCAGGTCATGTCCTCACCAATGTCCTGAGGCATGTTAGGCTGAGAGACGTGATATATTCTCTTTATAGCCTCAGGTTATAACTCACATTCCTGGGGTGTGGTACTATCACTGAAGTGGACACAATGCATTAGTCTCTGAGTAGACAGTTAGTAGCCTTAAGTATGGAGTCGATTGTCACCAACAGCCAGGTCTATGAGGACCAAGTTACTCTAAAGGTCTCCTTTAACATTAGGAATTTATTGTATAATATTATTTACAAATATGTTGGCCTAAAAGAAAGAAAGGTCATCTATAAATAATAATACAACTTCAAAGTTAACTTGCTATTAATGAATGAAAAAGGTACAAGTTTTAACTTGGCAGGACATTAATAGTGTTGGTCGTGTTGGTTGTGAATGGTCTTCATATAGATACACAAATACTTGCAATAGAAGTCTCGAAGGACATCAATTGGTTGGAGCATCCATTGTAGGATGTTTCACGAGTGATTCTCCAATCAACTGATATATAATATTGCCAACACATTCTTGGGATGATACTAATTATGAACAAAAGCTGCCCAATGATTGTCGAAGGTCTTCTTTTTTTCTTTTTTTAGTTTCTTATGCCAGTCAATTTTGTAAGTGAACTAGTCAAAGACAACAGGCCTTCCCCTTGGATGACTAAATGAGGATTAAACGAAAGTATGTCAGCCAATTTAGCACAGCATGCAGAGTGATCAGATATAGGCAATTTACAGCGAAAGAGTTTTAGACCACTAGTCCTTATAATGTTACCATATAGCAAAACCCCTAAAAATGGCACATTTCTACTAGTCCTGAGGATACTTTAATTATTGGGCAGTTTGGCAAGGACTATAGGACTTGTGCCAATTTCTAACACTGGGCAAACCAGTATTTGACAGTGTGAGGAACTGACCACTCCGTCAGAAAACAACAGCCTTCACATTAACCAGTGTTGCTCATTATCCAATTTTCTTCAATAATTTCTACAATATCCAAGTTATACTTGAGCCAATCTCTGCCCCAGAATCTCCAATGGGAATACACGTAAAGCTTTCATAGTGCAGTACAACATCCGTGCACCATCCACATGCAACATAAAAAGTTCAATCTCACCGAGCTGATATAATTCTAGAAATAATATCAATGATATACAGGCGACATATTTGTATGCCCATTCATTTCACATACAAACTACACACACTGATTCAGAGTGAGTGAGTGAGTATGGTTTTACGCCGCTTTTAGCAATATTCCAGCAATATCACGGCAGGGGACACCAGAAATGGGCTTCACACATTGTACCCATGTCGGGAATCGAACCCGGGTCTTCGGCGTGACGAGCGAACGCTTTAACCACTAGGCTACCCGACCGCCCCCACTGATTCAGACCAATACTTGCCAATAGTTCTCCACAGGATCATGCACTAAATATCCATGGATGGGGACAGTGTTGCTGTCCCCTGTATTCTGATAGTACTACTACTCTAACATCAGTATCCAACATGACACTATAATTCTATATATGCAAGGACAAAATACCAAACCCAAACAAAAATAAGCACAACAGATACTGCAATACACCCGACCTCCCCAGCTTACTCACTAAGGCATCACTACCAATAAGCTGAACATCGACAAACATATTAGAAATGGTGAATTGCCATTGGAACCTTTTTTTTATCACAAAATAGCACCCAGTCAGCAACTTAAAATGTGTACATCATATATATGGTTAAGTGTATCTCATTCAGATGTTATGGCCATGTTGTAACTCATTTTGTAAAAAGTCACATAACGTAAGATGAAAATATGAGTTTTGTTCGGTTAGATAAAAAAAGGAATTTTTCACTGTTTTCCAAAAAATGGCATTTGTTGTTAAAAATGTCCATCTCTAGATTTAATGCACCCTCTTCAGGTTAACAAAGTAATTTCCTGATGATAATTAAAGAATTTGCTACATTCATGAACCAAAACAAAAGATGGAAATATTTCAATGATTATAATCATCAAATTCTAATCCAATCATAGTACAACTAAGTTGAAAAACTATGAAATCAAATGTTGTGCAGATTGTACATATATAATTAATAAAAACATGTATAATTAATACATATTCTTTCATAAGGCAAATGTGAACAAAAAATTGCTGCAATAAAGTTTGCCTTGTTTACAAATCCGTGACGAGAAGAAGGGTTTGGCGAGCCAATGAGGGTGGACTGAGAGACGTGAACATGTGTTAGGTGGTACACAGTGCACACAAGTCACATGACCAACATACCTGCTACCTAGAGAATCAGGATTACCCAGAACATCGTGTCTGTTAGGAGGAACGGCAAGAGATTATATATGTTGCATATCAACTACAGGCTATAGACATGTATGTCATTCCAATCTGCAGTACAGCAGTAACTATCTACAAGATGCAGGACATGCCTATTCACAAACACAAAGGATGAGTAGGTCAACATTATACACGCTCTGAAAATAAACATTTGTCAGTAAAATGGTTATATTCTTAACAAAACAGTTGGTTAGTAGAAAAACAAGCATTCAGACACAAACATTAGTAGAACACAAACCTTCAACTATCCCCGTGTTATTGGTTTTCGACACATTCTTAGTTTTCCCTCACTTTAACAACAGTCAAACACCTCATTCACTAATAAAAGACAACTTTCTCCTAAAAACAAGCCATCACCTGAGCATTTACAATGTCTGCGTGATGCTACACCCCTTGTTATAGCACAAATAATCGCGATAAACATGGCCGTCCAAAAATGTATGATGTCCAAAAACCTATGATCTGACAATATATGGTTACAGAATTTTATGCTTACAATCGTTCATTTGGTCTGCACTACTAAATATGATAAAGTTTTAACACTGATGCCAGATCCAAGTCTTCATCTGTCTCTGGTTCTTTGGTTGTGGATGATATAAACAGTGAACAAGGGATTGGCTAAATTTGATAGTAATAGGCCAGTTGGATGAAATCTTTTCTTAGCAAGTGAATTCAAAAACATGCTATCCTGCCTCAGTGGACATATTTTAACAATTTGAAGTAATTTGAGTGAATATGCTCATGTTCAGAAAAACCCATTGTACAACTGACTCATTACAAACACATCTTAGTAATTCCATTCCAACATGCAGACTAACAATAGGTTGCGTCATGCTATGAGAAGTAGCACACCGACGATGAGCTAGCCTGGCAAGTGGGACTCAGGCGAAACAGATTTATGGGGGTAACAATAACAATATAAACTAGCTAGACTTTCTTTGGTGTGATTGCTGTCATGGGTGGCTATACTTGGTTGTCTTGACAGATGCACATGCTCGACTTACTCTGGTCAGTGACAGCAAAGATGGCTACACCCTGTTATTGTGAGTGACGCACATGCTTGACTTTCTCTTGTTAGTGTGAACACAGATGGCAATACTCGGTTGTCGTAACTGAAGCACATGCTCGACTTACTCTGGTCAGTGACAGCAAAGGCTACACCCTGTTATTGTGAGTGACGCACATGCTCGACTTTCTTTTGTTAGTGTCGACACACATGGCAATACTCGGTTGTCGTAACTGAAGCACATGCTCAACTTACTATGGTCAGTGGCAGCAAAGATGGCTACACCCTGTTATTGTGAGTGACGCACATGCTCGACTTTCTTTTGTTAGTGTCGACACACATGGCAATACTCGGTTGTCGTAACTGAAGCACATGCTCGACTTACTCTGGTCAGTGACTGCAAAGATGGCTACACCCTGTTATTGTGACTGACGCACATGCTTGACTTACTCTGGTCAGGGACGGCAAAGATACCCTGTTATTGTGAGTGACGCACATGCTCGACTTTCTTTTGTTAGTGTCGACACACATGGCAATACTCGGTTGTCGTAACTGAAGCACATGCTTGACTTACTCTGGTCAGTGACTGCAAAGATGGTCATAATCTGTTATTGTGACTGACGCACATGCTTGACTTACTCTGGTCAGGGACGGCAAAGATACCCTGTTATTGTGACTGACGCACATGCTTGACTTACTCTGGTCAGTGCCGACAAAGATGGTCATAATCTGTTGTTGTGACTGACGCACATGCTCGACTTACTCTGTTCAGGGACGGCAAAGATGGTTTTACAATCTGTTATTGTGACTGACGCACATGCTTGACTTACTCTGGTTTCAGTTGGAGAGCTCCTTCCTCCTGCCCCGGAGCGTTGACGTGGTAGACACAGAAGTGGCGTAATATTGGCTGCATCTCGGCATAGCTGAAGAACCCTTGGAAACAGGTCACGTCTGCAACACAATTTAAAGAGTGAGTGATTAACCAGCTTAAGCAGGGAGACTGAGCGTAACTGCTCTGCTTCTTTTCTGGCCATTAGCGGACATTGTGACAGTCTGACTGTTACCCCTGTTTGACTCCACGAAAATGCCAAACATGTTAGATTTCAAAATCCTTTCAAAACACAACACCTCAACTAAATAAAATAAATCGATTTCAGATTTAAAGTCCTGAAAAACAAATCTATGTTCAGACTAATCTCATTATAATCAAACCTAGAGCTTGCTACCAGCTAAAGAAAGATCTGAGGATATCCCATTACAGGTCACACCAGAACGACCTATCATCCGACAGAGTGTCGCCTACAAGATTGCAAACGTGACAATTTAAATGTGTTTTCTAATCATGCAACCTTAAAAAGATTAACACAGCCATCTTGAAAGGCACCTATGGGCTGTATGACCTGAATGCTAGACATTGTTTATCTCTGGCTTCAATGAGACATACATTTGAAACGGAAGAGACTTTCCACAGCCAGTAGGAAATACTGCCATACATTCTTGGCCATATATTACACATTTCAAAGTTTTTTTTCTTCAGATTTAAAATTTTGAATAAAACTTCATCCAAATTTTATTCAGAGAGTAGTTTTGATTGGAAGTTGCCATTTGATAACTTGTGCTGTAAGCTCCAGAAAGCTGCTTCCTGCTAGTCATTTCATTGGTCAGTCAAAGTTTGCAAAAGGTCGTTCTGACGTGACCAGTCACCTTTAACGGGATGTCTTCAGATCCTTGTTTAGCAATATAGCGAGCACAAAGATACAATTTTAATAAAATGAATCAACAGACAAATATGGCGATTACTATGCAGCATTTACAAGCGGAACATTTATGAAAACACTTGTCTCTACTACTTACGGTTGAGTCCAATGTCGTGGAAGGTGAGAATGGCCATCTTGGATCGGTCCCCTTGAATTGCCACATGCATGTTGCCATATGGAGTCTCAATATCATCCTCCTGTAACATAAGCAACCACAATATGTAACAGAAGACTTGTTTAGTCACTATCAATATCCTCTTTCAACATGCTTATACAGTCTGCGCCAAATACCTTTTGAGCCTATTCACCAAAACTTTTATTTTGGCATTATGTCACTAGATTTTAGTCTTAGTATATGGAGTATAAGCTAATCTTACTATATCAGAAGAAATTTGAGTAGACTTGGGGTTCGGACTAGTGGCTGAACTGTACTGAGTACAAGTAAAATCCAAAGACGGTTTTGTTTCGTTTGTTTGTTTGTTGTTGTTTAGCGCCGCACTCAGCAATATTACAGCTACATGACGGCGGTCTGTAAATAATCAAGTCTAGACCAGACAATCCAGTAATTGAAATCATGAGCATCGATCCACGCAATGGGGATGCGATGACATGCATCAACCATTCAGCAAGCCTGACCACCAGATCCCATTAGTCATGGTAGTCCTATTTAATGACTAGCACTTGTGGACTTTAATTCCGAACCGGTTCTCAATGCTTCAATCTTTCTACAAATTGGAAGTGAATAAACTGACAGAAAAAATAAATAACATTGTTGTCTCATTTGTCAAACAGGACCAGCTGCAAACTCTGAAGACGAGCGATAGAAGGGTTCCACTAGTCTGCTGGGCTAGTCTTTAAAACATATGAATTTCGTTGGCTGTATTGGGTTTGTTTTGTTTGTTTGTTGTTTTACGCCGCACTCAGCAATATTCAAGCTATATGACGGCGGTCTGTAAATAATCGAGTCTGGACCAGACAATCCAGTAATTGACATCATGAGCATCGATCCACGCAATTGGGATTGATGACATGCATCAACCAAGTCAGCGAGTCTGACCACCGGATTCGTTAGTCGCCTTTTATGACAAGCATAGTCGCCTTTTACGGCAAGCATGGGTTGCTGAAGACCTATTCTACCACGGATCTTCACGGGTCTGACTGTATTGGGACGCATATAAGGGACGTCATGATACGCCTATCTCTCACCACAATACCTATCATGACTATTTGTTCACAGTGCAATATGTATAGGATACTTAATTCGACGCAATTTTGCTTGAATTTTTATATTTCAAAGGGCATAAACAACTATAAATTAAAAGGCTTGAAACTTCCTGAATATGTGCAATTATATTTGAAAATAAATGTCTCATTTCAATCAATACTTCATTTCAGATACAACTGGAGTGTCAGAACCAGTTGGAAAAAGCCTAGAACAGATTTTAAGTCTTAAAACTATGTACATTGTACAATCTAGATATAACATGAACTAATACTGATAAAATTGTTTATTAAAACATAGGTAGGACCCATTTTGCCTACTAAGTCATTCCATTGCTGTTTTAAATGCCCCATGTGTGACACAATAAAGGGCTAAAATGTGAACTGATATAGGATCAAATTATGTGTGAGTGAGTATTGCATATTGTATCATGTGAGCAGATCGATGCAGTGATGTACTGGTGGATCGCGACATCCCTAATACACAGATCCCAACTCTGAAGAGAGTCCCTACCCAGTCACATCCTTTAAATTCCTTATCATACACCATGCACTTGCAACACAAATGATCATATATCACTATCCAGGAATGTATTTTATGATCGATATTGACAACTCCTCCCCTCTTAACATGTCTAAGGAGGTACAGTGTTCCCTTGTTATTGCGCCCTCAATATAGCGCTAACTCGGTTATAGAACGTGGTAAAGCATGGCTCCCAAAGTTTACTAACATTTTCAATACACTCAAGTTTTCCAATGACATGATGTTTTCCCCCATCTCAGAAAACATTATCAGCTGATAACCGCGATCATGTAACACCAGAAATACCAGTCAACAAATCCGAACTGAAGCACGCAAATTAATCCTATTATTATAATATCTGGAAGATCTAATTAAAAAAAATGTTCATTGTTTATCTGGACTAATATTTGCAAAATACTTAGTTAATTATATTCAAAATTTCATTCAATAATTATAATAATGTTTACAATAATTTCGGCGAAATCGTATGCGAAGTGATTGGGAGATGGCAGAACTCACCGTTATTACAGCAACAACAGTCAAATTACCGCTATTGACGCCTTGAAACGAACTTAAGTTGCAAGAGAATGGATACACATATCATAAATGCAGTATGATGACTCGCTAAAAGTCAAATTTGAGGCAGTTTGACTATTAAATGTCAACATAACATTTTCACAATCAAAATACATGTAGCGCGGGAAGTCCCTACAGTCAAAATCGTTCCATACGTAAAAAAATATACTGCATACAATCTGTACCAAAGTGCTACGCTTGTGGTTCTTATAATTTTGACTATATATGGTGGAAGCTGCAACTAAAATAACACGATATTGGAACATATTATTCCTGATAAAATAATAATTTCTTCCAACCATTGCATCAAAATTCTTTAAAGTTGTATCACTGGGTACGTTTTAACTGAATCACCGGTAGATTGGGAGGAAACGTGTGCACAGCTGATTGCTATTTCCGGCTTAGTTTACGAGAATAAACACACAGTAATCTTAATCTCTGCACAAAATACAATGCCTTTGAGAGCAGGTAATACATTTTAAATGGTAAATCATCATGTCTGATGATGTTTTATATCAAATTTCATACTTTTATTGACCAAGTTTGTTATAGTTCTACCTGCTTATTCACCTGAAGGGATACGATGTGTTGTTTTTTTTAAAGCGCATGTTAATACTCGATAAATCTTTTTTTACACTATGAATCAAAAACAACTTCTATTGTAATCTTTTTGGAAACTAAGAAACGTGCAACGTAGATCGTGTTAGGTAGGCAGAGTATGTACATGTATACATATATGTGAATGTATGCCAGATTTTAAAAACTCATCTTCAACCGAGAAATTTATATCATTACTCAGATGTGAATTCGGGTGTTATACTCTTTGTAAGCTAACTGATCGAATGTTCCAAAGACGCTTGTCACTCATTTGATTCTGTGTGCGCTTTTCTGTATGTATGTCATTATGCTTGCGAATTGTAGTATTTCTTCCTGTGATCAATGTTATACTTGTAATGCTTATGTTGAGTGTCGGTGAGGATAAATGCACCCCTGTGTTGTGTGTGTGTGTGTGTGTGTGTGTGGGGTGGGGGGTGGGGGCACGTATAATCTACGTATGGTATATGTGTACGTGTGTGCGTAGTGCGTGTGTGTGTGTGGGGGGGGGGGGGGGGGTCGTCGTGAGAGCGTGTGTGTGTGTGTGGGTTAAATTGTACGTAGGGTATGTATGTGTGAGTGCGTGTGTTTGCGTGTGCGTGTGTGTGTGCATGGTATGGTGTGGGGTGTGTGTGTGGGTACCTACGTGTTTGTGTATGATCGTGTGCGTGACTTTATAAGTAATTTGGCGTGTGAGTGCGTGCGTGTTCATAACCCAACCTTAATTTTAAACATTGTGTTAGTATATGTCTTAGTTTACCTTACCCAGATCATGACGTTATAATTTGCTTTTATGTCTAGTGTCTCGTAGGCCATACCTGGTCGGATGTTATATTTTACTGTTCGTGTACGTGTTTTAGTATGAAGTGTATATAACATGTGACACTATAATAAACATTATTCTCTCTCTCTCTCTCTCTCTCTCTCTGTATACTGTTTTGTTGGTCATCTACCACCTACGACTCGACCTTCGCTAAACCGCTGATCATCTATAACACTCATCAATTATTTGGACCCCGAAGGTACCGTTGTAGCGAGGGATCACTGTACTACAAGGGGTTCTGCACAAAACCACAACAGGCATCAGCTTGCTACTTTCAACTGATTTGCATCATCTGGGCTGTTTTGAAACATCATTTGACATGATTTTGATATTAATTCAGCATAATCTGTTTATCATGAAGTCTTGAAAAACTGTGATCATAGTGATCATCTTAAAACTCACAAGATTGTACAAATTGAATAAGGTAAGCACTCTTTGCCTAATGATTACATGTGCCAGATCCTCACTTTGGCAATCATTTTCAGTACTGTTTAGCGTTAATATGTGGATTTAAGTAGTTGAGGATATTAGACCGGAAAAAACAGAGAAGTGCTACAAGGTGCAGACCTAGATCTTGCCTGCACCTTGTAGCACTTCTCTGTTTTTTCCGCCAGATGTGGAACCTATATTTTTTTTTAACCCTGTTTACTAAAAGGCATCACCAGTGTGGAATGCGCGTATGATTCCCTGCATTATGTGAACTAAACATATCCATAATGTTTTTGAAGAAAGGTTCCATGTTACATGCCATTTAACAGTGCCCAAGTACAATCAGGCAAAAAGTCGAAAAGAAAAGGCCTTTAATACATAATAATTACTCTAAATACACAAAATTTCTAATCGAACACTCAAACATTGCTCACCTGAATCAAAATGGCTGTGGCATCTGTGTTTGCGAACGACCTTGGTTTGGGGTCAGTGCTGTCAATGCTTGTCAGCTCGATGTCCGTTAGCTTCTCCATTGTTCGCCGCTGTCACAGATAATATTCACAACATTACACAGAGGACCTTCAAAAACAACACTCACATTTAAACTTTCAAACAATTGTCTGCAAACACCAGTCTTAACTAGTTCCAAAGTGAACACCTAGTTTTGAAAATCTTCCGGTCAGCATGGAAAACTAGTGGGGGTGTTTCTGAGGGGATGGGGGAAGGGGGAGGAGTTACTGGGGACAGGTCTGGAGGAGGGGGAAAGGCATTGTTGTCACCAACACTATAAATAAAGCAACATACCCTGGTGGAATATGATCAAGGGCCTATCGCACTTGTCAATACACTTATAAGATCATCCAACAATGATTAACCCACTTGAGGGCAAGCAGGGGCTTATGTTTCAAGCTGGCATTTCAACCAATTGAGATCCTTGATGAACAGTTACAACCTTCTTCAAGAACATGCCGTGAAGTTCGCCATTTTACTTGATGAACACTTTTAGTTTCGCTTCCACCAGCGACTGAACAAATGTTATGTTGACGAACAGTTTCAACCTTCTTCAAGAACATGCCGTGAAAGTTCGCCATTTTACTTGATGAACACGTTTAGTTTCACTTCCACCAGCGACTATGAACAAATGTTATGTCGACGATGACATAAGGCAGTTACAAGTCTCACTCACAGGTATGGTCATTGGTGAGCTCATCATCAACTGATAAACTATACCTTGTGGAACATGATATCCCGGAAAGCTACAAGTGAAAACAAAGGTATCCAAACTAGTGTCAAATTTTTCCTTTATTAATATCTAGTGGATGACGTCTTTCAAGATCTATCAATGCACCAAATACTTTCAACTTAATCAAAATAGCTATGTGTGAAATCTGTGCTTTTATTTTTACATAGTATTACTTGGTTTTATCATGTTTATCAATGGTCAATTTGTGTCAAATTTTTAACTGAAGAATATTGGTCATTTTGCCCTATTAATTTACAGTTGTGTCAGCTATTGGTCATGTTATCTTGTATATTCACTCCATATCAGCTATTCATCATGTTATCTTGTATATTTACTCCATATCAGCTATTAGTCATTTCACCCTGTTTTTTAACTCTATATTAGCTATTCATCATGTTATCTTGTATATTTACTCCATATCAGCTATTAGTCATTTCACCCTGTTTTTTAACTCTATATCAGCTATTCATCATGTTATTTGTATATTTATTCCATATCTGCCATTAGTCATTTCACCCTGTTTTTTAACTCTATATAAGCTATTCATCATTTTATCCTGTATTTTTACTCTATATTAGCTATTCATCATGTTATCTTGTATATTTACTCCATATCAGCTATTCATCATGTTATCTTGTATATTTACTCCATATCAGCTATTAGTCATTTCACCCTGTTTTTTAACTCTATATTAACTATTCGTCATTTTATCCTGTATTTTTACTCTATATTAACTATTCGTCCTGTTATCTTGTATATTTACTCTACATCAGCTATTGGCAATGATTTGGTATGGGATAATAAGATGAGAAAGCTTCAACAGTATAATAAACAAGGTTTAAAGCCTTCTGCTTTTCATAGTAGATGACGGATGCCAAGTACCCAGTAGTGAACGACATTTGACAATTATCCAATTGGGAGGTGTTGGCCCTCCTTCTGGGGGAGATCGGGTTTCCAGAAAGAAGCTTCCATGTCACCCCCATCTGACACTGGTTTACCTTACTGGCTCAACATGCTCAAGTGTGTTGTGCCATATTCTTTACTGAGATAACAATCCAACACAGTGGACAGTGACAAGATGGAAGGATATCCTTACATGATAACAACAATCCAGCGAGTAGAGGGTGAACATCAATAATAGTAAAAGGTCACCAATGGAGGTTCCAACTGACCTGTAATTTGGGCGTAAGGTGATGTCCGAACCTTACTATTTTAATTGTACATAACTGGTCTGTAACTTAGCACCCATAACGTGGGAGGCTGTTTCTCTTTGTCTTTTTTTTAATCTCATAATGATTGTTATATGTTGTCATGAACAACGAAGCAACATTTTGTGAATCGGTGTATATAGAATTATGAACCCGTGAGAAAATATATCAGCTGGAGTGAAGACTCGCAGCTTGAATGCAGCACTGTAAGCATGGTGTCTTCGTTTCAAACTCATGATGAGAATGTCAGTCATAACCCCCTTTATACCACTATTGACTGTTAATCCAATTGAATTAAATAAACTATGAACACATTGAATGACCATCACTTCCTCACAGGCTTCTCCAGTTTATTAAACTTATCTCTCGAAAACAAAGGAATTAAGCCCCTACTTCCAACACAACTTGAAAGTGTTTGTGTAAACAACATAACAATACCAATCGGCCTGTTATTACCAGTGCTCATTTCCTTGTGTAACGTGTTGCTTTTTAAACAACAGGAAGCAATCACAGTGGTCACCGTTTGTGACGTCACAGGAAACAGCTGATCACATGTTTTTGCAAATGGCGAACGGAATAACTCACCGTTACAGTTGTTTATTTGCCTCTTTGAACATTCAATTGAAAACTTATTATCGGAAGTAGTAACATGCATAACATTTTTTTAATAATGATAACATTGGTGTATAATAATAACTTTATTGATGATTTATAACAATAATGGCTTCCTAACTTTCGGGAAGTTGTAATATATCATCAGCGTTAGAATTGGCACTAGTCCTGTAGTCCTTACCAAACTGCCCAATAGTAAAGGTATCCTAAGGACTAGTAGAAATTGGCCCGTTTTAAGGGTTTTGCTATATGTTATCATTATAAGGACTAGTGGACAAAAACTGTTAGTTTCTAACCCTGCCGTCATTCAGGCGATATTTCTGACAGATCACGATCTGAAAAATACTATCATGAAAGTGTATCCCGTGGATAAGCCGAACCCCTTTCTACAGAATCTTTTTTCTGGTCCTCAAAATTCGGCTTATCTGCGGACATATACGGTACCCAAAAATGGGGTATGTGCATAAAACTCAAATGCACACTCTACACAAGAAAATATGGTACTCCAAGTCTTCGACATGTTAGATGACAAAATACACAACATAGGAAACCTGGCTACTGTTTTAATATTGATTCTGCTCAATATTCAACAATACCAACAGTCCATTTCCTTCAATCAGTTTAGTCAGGTAAACAGTCATGGCAATCTGTTGAAAGCATGAAACCTAACATAAACAATCCAATATTCAAACACCAACTTACGGAATAATACAACATGTCAATCTTTTACCTTATCAAAATCAACAAGACTTCATACATATCAACATGATATAAGCTATGAAACAAAACAAATTAAAGACCAATTTGACCTAATTAGGTTAGCTGAAACCTACCTTTGTCGTTTGTGCACACAGCAATACACCTACTCCCAAGTGAAGAAGTTTAAGAAACAGGTACAGCCAAGCCAAAGGTATTATGACAGTGTGTTGTTGAGAAGGCAGTGTACAAAATTCATGAGGCCTCTGGTGCTGATAGTAATAAACCCCATATCTAGTTTGACAAGTCTATGAAGTGGACACAACTGCTGGAGGCAATACGTGACATCATGACTGTCCCCAGGCTCCGACTCACCATGTTCCCCCATGTCTGTGAATAATCTTACAATAAACCTGCAAAGTCACAACCACCCACCGATGACCATCATATACTTCCACAGTACACAACCAACAACTGACGACCATCATATACGTCCATCATACAATCTCACTCCTAAGAAAAAATTCAGAAATTCTGTCTACTTCAGTACTTGAAGCTTGTGAAGCACATTAAGAAAGTTAATATTCATGATGAATAATTAACACTGATTAAATCATGGACATAGAAGCAAAATAACAAACTGAACTTACAGATGAGGAAATCCAAAGAGTCTGAATGATGTGAAACTGAAAGAATGGTATCGCTCAGCGAATAAAGAAAACAAAATGGCAGAGAAAGAAGACAGGAATATGAATAATGGGCTGTCTTGTGTCGTGTCAGAGGTCACATTGTGCAACGTTAACTTCCCCCCAGGAGAGTCAGGCTTTTGTTTCTACATGAGTAAGTACAATAGACATGTCAGGGCCGTGAGTCGTAATTTTATTACGTCATAAGTTGGATACCAGTGATGTATGGATTACCTCGGATACAAGGGAGGAATTGACAACAAGGTAAGGCCAATTGGGCTAAAATATATATACTTACTTATTCAATTTCTTTAGAGAATGATTCTAACAAGTCTTGAAAAAGAACTGAATTAAATTAATATGTCTTTGTTAATAATTCTGACCGAAATGATTTTGAAAATAAATCATTTATAAGAATATGATAGGAATTTTCACATTTCATATCATCAAAGGTTAATAAAACTTTATTTTGGTTGATGCATACAAAGTAAACTTTAGCATGTTTAGTAAATGGAGGGTAAATAACACAATAAAGTAATTGTCAATGGCACAGTTAGTTTGTCACAATACATCTCAATATGCTTAATGTTAAAGGGCTATGAATTATTTATCATATATACTCCAGGACTCGTTCTAAATTGAGTATATTCACTCTTCAAACATAATGCAATATTCAAGGAAAGGCTGGCAAATGATGGATGATGTACATTCCAGTACATTTATTTCTAAGGCTGAGGAGCAAAGTCCAGTTGTCTGTGACTAAGATCAAACTGACACTTTGAAATGTCAAAACAGACTTTTTTCTGCAAAAGTCTCCCTTCTCGTGACAGTGATACAAAATGGCAACATGCTGTCATGCTGGTACTAAGCAGTCACAACTGCATCACACTGCTACGATCTTCCTCATCCAGAGACATGACTGGGACATGTTTTTGATTACTCTGTTTACAGCTTTCATTCCATGTCAATGGAGTAGGGGAGGGATTTAAAAAAATGTTCACCTGGTAAAGATACTTAGATGGCAATTGCATAAAATCAGTCAATATTTGCATGAAATAAGTCAGTATTTGCATAAAATCAGTCAACATTTGCATGAA